TCACGGGGCCTTTACCTTTTGTGGACATGTGCAGCCAAGGGCCTGCAGAACGGGAGGTTCATCACAGCAGATCGCAAGATGAAGGAGGTTTGTCCTGAAGAGACCTTTACCATGTTTCAGCTGCTCGCTCGCAGTGCTCGCAGTCGCAGAATGTCTTTCCAGCTTGGCGCTATTCGCACTCCTCGTTGTCCAAGGTTGCACCAGTTCCTGAAGACGCATCTAAGCTGAACCGTGGCAGATGGTAGAAACCTGCTGCGCCGGGTCACTTGCAGAGTGACAGCCGCTTAATTCGATTCGGTCACTCATAGACTTGGCATGTTTAGGTGAATTGGATGTCCGGCTAGAAGAACCTGCTGCTGTCGGACTGGTGTCACGCAAACAGTCAGCACTGAAACGCGAACATATTTCAACTATGGCAAATGGACGGCAGTCTGTTGGGCATCGGGCCAGTAGGAAACTCATCCCATGATGCAGAGCGGGAAAATCGAGCAAGGCGAATGCGGGATCTGTGGGGCCACAATGTAAACTGACGCAAACAGCGGTGTGCAGGCGACTCCCTGCGAAAACAAGCGCGGGGTGCCAAGCCTCCAACTGCAGAGGAGGCCTGGCGGTGGCCTCTCAAGTCTGCAGATGGCACAGACCTGGACAGGTGTTTGCTGTGAGCGTCTCCTTCACTGGGCGGCAGCTGTCAGATCCATACCGGGCCGCGGCTGGCATTATTAGTCACGGCTACACGAATGCCGCGGTAAGTCGTTTGTTTCACGTTGTTTGGCATCCCCCCCCAATTGTTGCATGTCGATTCTCTTGGGGAGGGCGTGGTCTCGCTGCCAGGCCACCGACACGACCTTGCAGAGGACTAGTCTCTGAGAATCGAGCGGGGCCCATTGAGCGCATCCGAGAGTGTCGAGGCTTGGGCCGCACGGCTGGCTGAGCTTCCAGACCTGGACCGGCCTCGCGGCTGCATTGCTCGGCCTGAAAGCGCACACGAGCAGACCAACTCGACACCTGCGTAAATGAATGCATGGTTCCCAACGGCAGCATGCAGCTCTTCTTGGAGTCAGACCATTCTTCTTGGGACCGTCGTGGTTGAGAGATGTTCACAGCTTCGAGTGCCAATGTTTGCAGCAGGCAGTCAATCTTGGGTTCAGTTACGGGAGCTCATGCAATTGTTGAATTCATGAAGTTTTTTTGGGTCTCGGTGCTGGTACTGGTACGGCAAGCCAGGCAGTGTAGAGCCCGGTGTTCATGACAGATGAGCTCCTTGTTGGAAGTGAAAGCTGCCGCCACAGAACGGCTCAGGCAACTATATCCAGTCGCCTCAAGCCGGTCTGTTTGTGCAGGCCGGATCTGCGGATGGAGATTTTGTTTCGGTGGTGCCAGTCATGTTCCGAGGCAGTTCGGAGAACATCCGGCAGCTCATGCCTGCCACGGCTCACCTCGGTGACGGCACCCTGGCCCTGTACCTCTGACTTTCCGGCTGACCTCACGGTATTGACATTGTCGAAAGTCTCATGGCGAAACTGCAGCTGGCTCAAGGCAGGGTTCCTGGAGGGGTGCCAGGCATGTAGCAGCCTCACTCGGACTCCGCTCGCAGGCCAAGCCATACCTAGCCAGGGTTTTGCTGCCTGTCGCGTGTGAAAGGAGTCTGCGGCCATTGCGGCCATGTCGAAGTCGAAGCCCAAAGCCGTCCCGAAGGGCAAAGGAATCGTAAAGGGTAGAGGCCGGCCACGGGAGGGGACCGGACCATGGGAACGTCTGTGAGAGAGTACGACAGGTAAGGGTGGCATCCTCTACGACTTCGATTTCGAGCCCGAAGTTCCGGACTGGCACTGGAGTGTTTTTGGCAAACGGGACCCGCAAAGCTGCCACGAGATGCCGCAAGGAAGGCAGACCCTGGCCTCCACCGGAGCCGGCAGAGCCGGCCGAGCAGGCACTGTGCCTTATGGCTCTGCACTCTAGGATCTGTCAATGTTATGACTCTGACTCTCCAGCCCTTTTTGCTTGTGACGCTTGTGGTGGGGTCTTTTCCAGAAGCTTCGGACTCCCGACACGGCAAGATATGGCCTGGACGGGACAGCGATGTAATGCCTGTTTCCCTTCAGGTGGTTCACCCCAAGTTTTGTTGAGCGGTTGCAGTTGTTGCTGTTGCTGTTGCTGTTGCTGTTGCTGTTGTTGTTGTGGTGGTGGTGGTGGTGGTGGTGTTGGTGGTGTTGGTGCTGTGGTGTTGGTGGTGTTGGTGGTGTGCTTGCCCCGTCTTTACTTTGGCCTTTCCTTGCTATCCTGGTCTCTTGCATGCATCCAGAGCGGGGTGGTGTTGTGGCCCTTTGCGGTTATTGTGGTTACTGGAACGATGCTGAAGCGGCTGAGGAACCCGCAGCACAGCGGGTTGACTTGCATCAATCAAGATTTGGGTCTAGTTCGGAGTGAACGGTGACGAAATATTCCTCCGTGTCGGCGGTGCGTTAGTATGCTTGTTCTCGTCTGCGTCTGTGTTGTGCAGGCTAACTGATGCACCTAATCGGCAATTGGGGTCTGCGGCTGGCTGGGAAGTAGGGAAAGACATGGCATCGCTCTTCCTCGATCACTGCGTGCCCCTGCGTTTCATGTTGCCAATGCAGCTGCTTCCCCCACTCTCCTCCAAAAAGTTCACAGCATCTTCCAAAATGTGACAACCGAAAGCCTGTTTTGACAAAGATAAGCTCGGGTTGAGGAGGTCAGGTGCCTTTGTATCACGAACCAGGAGATACCACGAGTGTCATGCAATGAGCTTCTCGTGTTCTATGCATTTTCCAAAAAGGCCAGACGGTTTCAGCTTATCTTCTCCTACCTATGCCAGGTGCCGAAAGCCAAAGGACCCCCGACAGCAGCGAAGCCTCCACCGCCAAAGCCTCTTCCGAAGCCGAAGGCGTTCGGCACTTGGTCTCTGTCGGGAGCTTTGCAAACCGCAACGGGTGCTGACACCAAGACATGGAGAAGAGCAGGTCGCCGCGGATCAGCCAAATCCCTCCACCGATGCCTACTTATCAGCTTCATGAGCCCTGGGCGTCGGGGCCTCGCGCAGAGAGTGTATCCCCGGGTAGGGTGTCTGTCTTTGCCTGTCACCTTCCCCGGCGGACCTCCCATCCCCGGATGCAAAAAATGTGTTTTTCGTTTTGTTTTGTTGTTTTTCAGTCATTTTTTGATCTTAGACTTGATTGCTGTGTTTTCGTTTTCTTGGGTAGGGGAGGGAGGGAATGAAGAAGATGAGGACGCACAGACAAAGACAAAAAGATAGGAGGAAGACGGACAGAAAGACAGACAAAGGAGCCAAAGAAGCCAAGGCCTGGCATGCTAAGTCCGCTTCCAAGTCCCACACTATCCAAGCACGTACATGGTATAGTCATGCTAAGTACTGCCGACAGTCCTTTCTTGCACAGCAAACCGATGACATGCTAATGACCCTACAAAGTACTCCTGTGCGACCGCACACCATCCAAACTCGCATGATCATGCCAAGTCTTGCCGATAATCCTTGTACAGTTACACCAAACCATCGAAATTGAGTGGAGTTTGCAGGAGCTGTCGTTTACCATTCACTTAGGTAGTAGAGAACTAGGTGAAAATTGCGTGCAAGACCTTAATCGGTCCTTTCGTCCTTTCTCAACAATAGATAAGGCGGTGGGATATTTGGGGCCCCAGCCCCGCCCGTGCCACCATGCAAATGATTGATTCATTCATAGCCAGCAAGGGCGGGGGAGGGACCACAAGGTGGCAGCAGCAATCAATGCACAAGGCAGTACAAGGTGTGTGGGGGCTTTGCCCGGCCCCCTTTCGGTCTCCCCCTTCCCCCACCGTCCATCTATGTACACACCAGGGCAGCTTGCATTTTTGTCTCTACGAGGCCGAGCGCGTCTACGTAGCAGGCTCCGACAGGTTTCAAGTCTGCTGCCTCAGTACTTCGCTAAGCTGCCGCGAGGACAGTTCGAAGCTGCTCGTATGCAGGGACATTCCGGAAGTCGATGGGGTCGGTCAAGGAGTCAAGGTACTACGGTACGACAAGGGTGTATCTGCATGTGGGCCAGTGTAAAGCAGAAGGGCGCAATCATCGTGCGGGTTGAAGCTTTATGGCAGTACCCATGTGCTTGCATCCACGCGGCCGAGCATGCAGGCAAGAACCACCGAGCTCTATCGACTTTGCTTGCTATTGTTGCCCTAGCTTTCGTGGCTTCTCTCAAGTTGCCATCACATTCAAACAAAAGCGTCATCATGATTCGAATCCTCACCACATGAATATCGCAACCTCAAAATATCAAGCAAATTGTGAGTTCATTCAGAAGCCAAGCGAATATGAGATGGCCTTTCTAAGGTTCTATGTACTTAAGGAACGGTTGTTTAAATGAGATCGGTTTGTTCAGAAGAGACTGTTTAATATTTGGTTCAGGATTTCTTCAATACTTGGTATCTAAAAACCGTAGTGTTCGCGTGCTCTAGCAAGTTCCAGCATGAAATACGTTGGTGCAGCAGGGTACTACAAGCTCAAATTCGAGACCCCCCAAAATCCCCAGAAGCTCCACTCTAAACTCTCCATCCCTGCGCTCGGAGTCCCACCCTTTCATTCAATCTAGACACCCCATTCGAAAGTCGGTTCGCGAGACACGCCTCTTATATATAGGCAGGTTCCTTGTCTGTCTGGGACTCTCAGACAACCTTTAGTCGGCTTCTGCTCGGGAAGCGCGAGGACTCTCTTGAGAGGACCTATTCTTTACACGGCTTAAAGGCATATAAACCAACAAATAGAGATGCAAAGCGACACGAAACACCGACACACACCAAAAAGACTCCCACGCAGACGAGGACGACTGTCACTGTCACGAACAGCAGGCCTTGTTTCCGAAGCCCACACCGCGGCGCGAAGAAAGCAAAGCCCCCGGGTTTCCAGTGTGTGCCAAGGGTGGCCCTTCGAGCTCGAGCTCAAGCCGAGTACAGGCCTATGGCCTATTAAAGGCTCCTAAGCTTCTTGGATGGCCGCTTCTTCGCTTCACGAGAGGCCCTTGGATGGGCCAACGGTTGGAGCTACAGCTTGGGGCCACCGGCCTGCATTGAAGCGCTTCTCTGGTGAAGCCTTGAGCTCAGATCGCTGTGGAGCCGAAGTCCAGCCTTTGAGAATGGTTGCCCAGAAGCCCCAACGTCCCAACCTGCTCAGATCGGTGACTTCGACTTGTCTGCCTTTCGTGCAGCTGAAGCCTGCTTCTCAGCTGCCCCACGCGTGGCTGGCTCGTGGATTGTTTGTTTGATTTACTTCTTGTGCTTTCTAGTGTGTGTGTGTGTGTGTGCAAAGCCTTCTGCTTTTGTGAACTGTGAGGTGCAGGGATACAGACCGTACGAGCCTGACGAGTTCTCGGAGGCGGAGTCTCAGGCCCGTCTGGCTCATGCTATAATTCAAAGGCATGGGATGTTGCAGTGTGCAGGACTCCCAAGAATCTCTTTCGGGATATGCCACAGCCTCCGATCAGTCTAAGGGAACGGCAGATCGGCGCAGCAAGTGCATGTGTCATCGTTCTTCAAGGTGCAGAGCCGATGGGACGACACGAAGGCTGAGAGGTGTTCAACTGGCCATTGTGCACTTATGGTTCGTCGAGCGGTTCAAATTCATGTGCCAGGCGCTATGCTTATGGCACTGACGCATGCGTGAAGTTCTCCGGCGTGAGGCTCGCTTATAGCAATGTTCTCTACCGTACTGTAGCCTAGTGAACCCGACCCCTCTGCTGTCGAGGCGGGCTGTCGCAGTGGGCCGCTAGGCTGTTTGCTGTTTCGGTGTCCGAAACGTCGGGGCGAGGCGAATGGAGTGGAATCGGCCGGAGTGGAAGGACGGCCTGCTCAAGGCTGGGCGGCTGGGCCCTGTGCCGCCGTGTGCCAGTCTGCGCCAGTTTGCCAGTGCGCGGCTTTTTGTCTGATCTGACACCCCCTGCTCAGACAAACCACTTGGGCGCTCGCACTCCAGTCGAAAAGATGAAGGCAGATGGAACATCGGTGCCAAGAAAGCTGTTGGCGTCGCCTTGAACTTTAACTTTGCAGGCAGCAGTGTTCAAGGTCATGGCGATGAACAGGCACATTCGTTACGGAAGCTTTGCTGTCAAAGGGTCGGAGAGGTTTCGTTGACGCACGAGCTGCCGCACTGCAGGGTCTACAAAGGCATCTCAGCACCCCCGGCAGAGTGGCAATTCGAGGCACTGCTTCGGACAGCCTGTACTCGTACTTGTCTTGAGCTTTCTGGGAGGTGGAACGGCAAAAGGCAGGGCGACTTGCTGAGGAAGCCAGGCTCATCAAAGCTGAGAAGGAGTGCGAAGAAGTGCTTTCTTGCAGTCATCAGCGACTCCGAAGACTTTGTGTTCAATTCTGCCATGGAGGAGAGGGTCAAGAAGGAGAGCCTTGACGATCAGAATGCTGGTGCTGCCTCGGGGCATTCATGCTGGCTGCATTTTCGTGCGGTGGTGGAGCATCCACACATCTGTATTTCACGGAGCTCAGGAAGATGAAGTCCAAACTTGCCCGGAAGGAAGCACGCCGTGCCCCAAGATCGTGGTTCCAAGCCTGCTGCAGTACCATGTCAGACGTGAGCCTTACAACGAGAGTCCGGATTGATATGGATGCAGGTGCCAATGCTCGGGGTGAGCGCCAGGCAGTCATTGAGAAGCAGCTGATGCAACAGAACACACAGGCGTAGCCGCCGAGCCGGTGCTTGATGTCAATGGCACATGAAGAGGCACAGCTTGCAGGCACAAACCCTTGTGGAGGATATGGAGGAGGCTCTATTGAAGGCGCGAGGAGATGTGAGCAGCTTTTCAAAGAACGCCAAAGAAGTCTGAGAAGGTGCCCGAGCTGCAGCCACCAGGGGTGCTCGGCTCCAAGGTTCATACTAAAGGCAGAGAAAACCAAAGTGCTTTAAACTTTCCAAGGCCCGGGCTACATCCGCAAGAACTTTTCGAGGCTGATGGACGTCGAGATGCACATGACCCTGCACAGCAATTCCCACAGTTCATTACAGGCGAGACTGGTGCTGCGTGATCTCGCGACCAGCGGCTTGGGTCAGAAGGTGAGCGAGCTCGGAGGCAAGACGACATGCAGCTGGGGCAGAGGTGGACGAAGTCGCCGGACCGTTTCTGGCAGGCGCCCCTGCGATTCCTACGCACGCCAGACGAGAACCTCCACCTCCCAGAAAGGCTTGAGTGACCGTGACCGTTACAAACTCTCTTTGGATGAAACAACCCCATGTGCAGGTGCAGAACTGGAACCAGGAGACCCTCTCTAGCTGGTTCAATGAGGTGCTGCGCAAGCAATGCGTCGTGTTCTGTCCTCTTTGCCGTGCTGCGCTTGCCGATGCTTGTCTATTCGAAACGCAAATTTCCAAAGAGGGGTGAGCACATCACTTCTGAAGCCTCTGCTTTCGCGATCGCCTTGTCGCGAAGCAACTTCTAAGTGGTCAACCTGCTCTTCACCCAAGTTGGCCAATTTGCTGAAGTGCTGTGCCATGGGTTCAACCCTTGACATGCCGCAACTGCAGCCGCATCCGCATCCATCTGCCGCATTAGATTAGATTTAGCTGATGCTGAGCTTTTCCATTGTGAGTGAACGTGAACGGACTGGACAAGCTCGAGCCTTGAGCATTCTGCCGCCACGGGCTCAAAGAGAGAATCTGTTGCTGGAACCCTTGCGGCACAGAACTTCATATCCGTCACATCCGAACAGCATCTGGGCTTGACCTCAAATCCGTGCCTGCCGTGTACGAGATCTTGGCATGTTTCGGGTGACTGCAGAGAGCCCAGCTACCAAGGTCATCATGACATTTACATTCGTGCCTTTCTCGGTGCTTCACAAGACATGACGTACCTGACTTGTGCCGCGCATTCCTGCAAGCAGTGACTGGGATGATTTTGACAATCCGAGGTGCTGAGGCACTGTCCCATTCTTTTGCTCGCTTTGCCGCTCACCCCTCTGGCAGAGGCGTCTATGCTCTTAGTCGTTCGTTTCCGGATTCTGGATCTTATCTGCGTCTGCAGGCAGATGTGCAAAAGACCCTGAATGTCCAAGTGTCCTCTGCGCTGTCCGCTGACGACAGCTGCGATAGGCCTTGCAACGAGAGCACTTATCTATGCGTTTCTTCACCTTGCTTTCCGTCCCAGGGGTGCCTCCAACGCATGTGGTCTCGGTGCTTTGCAAGCTGCCGTCCACGCACGAAGTGCCAAGGACGGGGTTGGCACCTGAGGGCAATCTATGAAGTGCTGTGCATGCTCGCCACCGGCACAGGAGCGATCCCAAGAAGCGAAGCTGAACGAGGAAGACAGGTCCATATTTGCCACCTCCTTGATAGAGAAAGCCGACACTGCAAGCGAGAAGTCGAATTCGTCGTTGTCAATGACCAGCGACTCGATGACCACTGACTTAAAGACCAATGGTAATGAAGCACTGCAGGCTCTTGAGAAGCTTGGCAGCACATATCACAACGGTACTGTTCGAGTCGTGGTGTCACTCGTTCCCTTGGTCTTGCCTTTGCTGTTGGACACCCTCTGCACCCTTGACAGACACTCGTCCAAGGCACTTGATGTTCAAGGACTTCTGGCTCATATGCAGTAACGTCGCATGAATCATGCTGGGGTGCTACTGCGCTGCATGCGCTCAGCTAATTCAGGACTTGAACCTCAACGACACCCAAATTGACAAGCTCTTCAAGGGCGTGGTGCTGGCTGTAGCAACTGAGGCCGAGAGAAAGAACCAGAACGCGATGGGCCGCGGGGTTCTCAAGCTGCTCCGCCAAGCGGCACTAAAAGCGCTGAGAGCCCAGAAGTCCGACCCGTTTGATGTCCAGCCCGGCTACTCCTGGCTAGAGGAAAACGAAGTGGAGTACGCCAGGGCATCCCTGGCGCTTCCGATTACCGGGGGGTCTATTCTGATCCTCGCCCTGGTCTCTCTGAACTTCTTCCACCGAACATTCGGCCCGGCCAAGGATGACCAGGCCCACCCTGTCCTGGACTCTTCAAGTTAGACTTAGATGTGCTCTCAGATCGGAGGTCGGACTGCCTGGAAACTTGTCACCCGGCCTGGATACCACCTCGACAGCAACACCACCCCTCAGCTACTTGGCGCTTGCATCGGTCTGGCTCCGGGATGTTTGTCAATGTCTATGTTATGTTGCTGAGGTGAGAACCTGGAGACGGGCTTCGAAGATAGAGTTGACGAGAATGCTACTACACCCGGCTGCTTGATCTGAATCTCAGCCTGTTCTGCATGTGAAACATTCCGCAAGCGCTAGGTAGCACCAGTGCCATCGACGACTATGCGATGTCAGTGTCCAGTGGCGACGAGTCGATGGAACCGAAGAAAGATGAGGAGGCTTGTTGCTCAGAGATGGCCCAACATGCCTTCCTTGAGCTTGTTGATCCGATCCTGCCAGCGGAATAGATTAGGTGAGAGCTTCATTCAATGCACTGTTCCGCTTCGCTCGCCCATGGGCCGCCGAGCTGAAGCCAAGCGTGCGGACTGGAGTCTACCTGTCTACCTGTCACGTGTGACCAGTAAGGATCTGATATGCACTACGCTTGCCATGGTTTTGGGCGCCGTGCATGGTGCTTGCATGCCTATGGCCTTCTTCTTCCTGTCTGACCTTTATCAAGCGGTTTACATGCCGAATGACGATGGTTCCCTGCCACCTGTCCATGCGCCGCACACCATCCGGGACTCCAAGGTAGCAGAGGTTGGCCTGACCTATGTGCTACTCGCCTTGGTTGTCTTGGTTGCAAGAACTGGCGGATGCTATTTGGTTATCAAGGCAGCTGATCGACAGGTGGTGGCAGCACGACGACAGTATTTCTATCAGATCTTGATGCAAGGTCCAAGCTGGCACGACATGCACAATGCCTCTGAGCTGGCTCCACAGCTTGTGCAAGACACGCACCTTTTCCGCGATGGAATCGGGGAGCGACTCGTCGATTTCACTCGAGCCTGCTTCATGGCCGTGTCAGCTACAGTTCCACAGCCGCAGCCATGTTTGGGTTTGGGTCTTGACTGCACAGGCTCGCACAGTTCAGCCTAGCTCGCTCGGGCCGAGGTTCTTGCTTGCAGTCGCGACTGGAAGGTCAGCATTCTCATGGCCATCATCATGCCCATTGCAGGAATGTGCATGGCTTTGTCAGTCGAAGTCGTGCGGAACTTCTCTACCGTGGTCGAGGCCTGCTATGCCAAGGCCGGTCAGGTGGCAGTGTCTGGGCAATGTTCAGTTCTGCATCGAATATATCCAAATCGAGCACAGTAACTGATCCCGGAATAGCGCGACAGAGCTGAGGTAACTGCTACCGAACTCATCAAGACAGTCACGGCCTTCAATGGCCAGCGATTGGAGCTGGAAGCCTTCAATGGGCATGTAGACGAGGCTCACATCAATGCCATCCAGACGTTGCCTCAGTATGCCTCGGAGGAAACTGCTTGTGCAAGGCTCTCGATGGTCATTGTGCTTTGGCCAAGGATTGGGGTTGTTGCCGGCTATGCCACTGGCCTTGTCAACACTGTGCCTCTGGCGGATTCAAACTTGCCTTGGCGATTCCCAGGCCAAAGATCTTGCACCTCAGGTGCTCATTACGGGGATGTCCCTGGGCGTGTACTTCGGTTCCCAATGGGTGCTGCAAGACTATGAAACCGTTTCTCGGCCTGTCTCATGACCTGAGCCCATGACATATCCTAATAGGGATCTACGACATGATGTGGAAGGACTGCTGGCGCGCATCACCGCCATTTGGAAATTGTCGGACGGGTGGTACGATTATGTCAGCTATGCAACGGAGCATGAATTGAGCATAAATATTGTGCACCAAGTCATTCTCAAGAAGCTTCAGCATTCGAGGTACACGATCATCTGGGGATTTACGATGGGCTTGGGCACCATGAACATGTGCTTCGTGGCTTTTGCAAACGCGCGAGCTGCAATGCACCGAATTGGCAACATTCTGGATGAGCCACTCAGTGCTACAAGTCGGAGCCTAAGCCGAGTATCGACTCTTCTCCCTGGACTTCTGCAGCTTGCAGGGTGAATTGCGCAGGGCATATTTGCAAAGGGGGGCAGATGTTGCTGGCCTGGGTTCCTGCAGGCATGCAGGCAAACAAGAAAGGGTCCATGGGTCTGACATGGTCACGATACGCTCTCTGACAAATGTTCACAATTGAGGCGGTGGCAAGATCCTTCCCCACGTGGAGGGTGAGATCATCTTCTCCGATGTATTCTTCGCCTACCCAAAGCGCACGGACTCCAGGTTGTTGAGCAGTAGATCTTTCGCTTTAGTTTCCGTCAGCCACATCGAGAGCAACAACTCATCGTTTGATAGTTACCATGGTTGGCACGTATCAATTGTGTGAATGAAATGAAGCCAAGGAGTCCTTGGTTCTGAAGGGCGTGACCTTGGAGATCAAGGCCAATTGTACCACCGCCTTTGTCGGCGGCAGCGGCTCTGGGAAGCCGGGGGTCCCAACGAGCGGGGAGGGCGGGAGGGAGGAGCCACACATACTCCAGGTCCTAGCATCATTAGAAGTGCGTCGCCTGAGACTCCCTGATGGTTCCCAAGCTTTCCGTCTATGGCAGCTATGCCATCTATGCTTTAAGATAAGAAGCCTCGCCGGCTGTCTGCTTTTGGCGACTGCAGCCGGGACCCATTGTGCTGGTGCTGTCACACAAATCTGCACCTTTGCAAGGACCTAAGGCCCACAGTTTGAAGCCACAAACCGGTTCTGAAGCATTATGATGGCCACAGCTCCTAACTCTTCATTTTCTGAGAACTACATGGAAGAACGGTTGTAGCAACCTGAACATCGAGGAGTACGCTTGTCGGCCTGCTGCTGCGTTTCTACGAGCCGAAGACTGGAACGGTTTGCCTCGACGGTGCCTTGTCCGGCGCGATTTCTCGTGGATTCCAGGGCCGTTACACCGTGATGCGGCTGTCCAGGCACTGATGTGCGCACATTGGAACTCCAATGGTTCCGGTCCAAACTCGCGCTCGTCGAACAGGACTGAGCTGAGATGCTGCACAGCATGGAATCGCAATGGAAAGACCAGGAGCCTGTCCTCTTCCAAGACACAATTTACGAGAACATTGCAGCTGGCAGTGCCAACTCCGTCACGAAAGCTGACGTGGAGCAGGCAATCACAAGAGTTTTGCATTATTGACCCAGTTGCCCAGAATATCCAGAATGCTGCATGCATGGGTCTTATGTCCATGCGGCTCTCGGCCCGTACCCGTTTCTGCTCTGTTGACTTGCTCACGGTTGGCCTTCCTCTTCCCTCCGTCAGCTTTCTCGGCCTCCTTTGGAAAGCTTGGCAATGCGAAGCAGTAGAGTTTGCCTTGCATCCCCTGCGCCGTGCCAGGCAGCAATTCTCGCCAGCATCTGAGAGTGACCGTAGTCTCCAGGAAAGACATCAGCAAAGAGCGTTTGCCAGTAGGTTCTGTTCATGTGGCTGCACCCCTTCATGATTCCTAGGCCAGCGCCCACGACTTCATTTCTACTTTTCCTCGAGGTTATCAAACCATGGCAGCTTGCCTAGTAATTACTCGTAGATACAGCAGGTCGAGCTAGGCAGAGTCAAGCACATTACCAAGGTGGGTGAAGCTGGGGCACAGCTAAGCGGCGGCCAGAAGCAGCGATTGGCCATCGCCCGTGCTTTGATCCGCAAGCCTGTGCTACGGCTGCATGCGATTGGACCTTTTTGATTCCTGTCAACATGTTCGACCCGTTACTGTAGTCAGCATGCATCTCTCACTGCCAAAGAATTTGCAAGGCTGTGTTGCTGCTGGACGAGGCCCCGCTGGACCCCCTGCATGTGACCGCTTCTTGGTGTAGTTAGTCGCAGAGATGGGAGCGAATCTTCGCACAGGCCACCAGTGCGCTAGACTCGGCATCAGAGCGAGCCGTCCAGAAGGCGCTGGACGAGCTATTGGAAGTTGGTGGACGAACAACAATCGCTGCTTGGCCTCGAACCCCTTCTTTTTTGTGGTCCATGCGATGTTCTGAAAATGCTCCTGCGCACATTAAGGTGATCGCGCACCGCTTGTCCACTGTCCGCAACGCACACCAGATCTGTGTGTTGGACAAGGGGAAAGTCGTGGAGCAAGGAACGCACGAGGACATCACTTCACGGCGCGAGTTGGGAAGCCTTTGTGCAGAGACACGGCTTGCTCGACAGGAGTTGATGTCCAAGCAAGGCGCTTATGAGAAGCTATTGCGCCTGCAGATGTCCGCATCCAAGGCCACCAGACACACGTGATGCACTTGCGCGAGTTCCGAGCCTCGCTCCTGCATCAGCCTGCATGCAGCGCAGGATGGGGACGCGCCGACTGCAGAGAAGGAGGAGACTACCACAGTTTTGCCGGTCCAGGCCAGGTGCAATACAGTGAAAAGAATCGTGTTCTCATGCTGTCCGAAACGTGAGGCACCTGCTCCGATACCTGCGGCACCTGGCGCCCAGGAGCTCCTGGAAGCGGCGTCCTCCAAGGCAGTGCTTGCATTTCGCCATTCGCGCTGCAGGGATCCGTTGCGAGAGTGATTTGGGACTTGTCTGCCGGCCTCTCTTTGAAACGCTTGGCTTGTGATCTGCGAGCTGTCACTGACACACACACTCCGTTCCATGTCATGTGGCTGGGCAGGAGCCGGATGCCAATGACCAAGCTCAAGGCTTTCTGCAGGGCCGAGTGTACGGGTCATTGCGAGTGAAAGATGGTGCAGGTAAAACAGATGAAGATCGCTGTTTGAAGCTCGCCAAGTCCTACGACTTCGAAAAAGATCTTGGAACAGCCTTTGCGGTCAAAGAGGTTTGGAAAATGTCCAAACAGGACTACAAGTACTACATGATCGGGGTTGGCTTCACACTCTTAGGTTCACGGCTCAGTTGCAGTTGGTGAGCAGAACTTGAATTGTGTACTCCCTACCTTGGACCGGGTTGTATCAGTTTCTGATGTGCTATCATGTTTTCAAACAGCACCAATCTCTCGGGGGCTCGCATCCACCAAAAAAATGCGCGGGCCGGGCTTGCAGCTGGAAGGCTTTCTGCACTGCCCAAATCGGTCAACATTTGACTCCGAGCGGCGAGTGGGCTTTTGGCAAGGTCGGCAAAATCGCGGCCCGCAGCAGCAGAGGAAAGTCTGCGGGTCTCCCTACTACGACCCTCCACCTAGCCATGACGGCAATCCCGAATGCAGCGCCTGCTGGCACACCTGTGCAATGTAGATTAGCTTCGTGTTGATGCTGTGGGGGCTGCCACGCCCACCCGCTCAATGTCCTGGATGCGACCCAGAAAATGAGAGTTCCGAGGTGCTGTCAGACCTGTAAGAGCCGTGACGGGAAATGGCCAGGAAGCTTACGCAAACCTTATGGCCGAGGTTCCATGGTGATGCCATACTTCTCCGTGCAATTTGCTCGGACGATCAACATTTTCAACCAGCCTCCTGCAGTATTGGACCCTGTGTCCCACAATTGGCAGGAGCCTCAGTATCACAATATGTGATCGCACGCTGGACATGCCAAAACCTCGCACTTGACACGGTTCGCATGTCCACAGCTGCGCCCTGAAGATTGAAATTCAGGTATGCAGCTTACAACGAGCCCTTTATCGCCGCCAGCGTGACCAACCTCTGCATGCTGATGCAGGCACTCAGCGTCTTCTGGCTCTTGCAGCTTCGGACAGATTAGCAGAGAGTTCAGAGCTCCAATCACCGTGGCCAAACCGCTGTGGGCCTTGCGGAATGGGGATCTAAGGCAGGCGATTGGAGCCTCCTGGGCCTTTGCTAAAGCGGGTGAGCTGCTGACACTCCGAGTCCGAGCGCGCTTCTTCGAGGCCCTCCTCCGCCAGGCCCAGGGGCCCATGGCCCATGGGGGCCATGGGGGCCATGTCGCTAAGAGCATCCGACGTGTTAGAAGCAATCTGTGCTTTTGTTTCGGTCGTCCAGGAGATCTCCTGGCACGACAAGCAGGGCACTGCTCATTTGCTGTGGAAGCTCGGTGCCGACGTTCCGAGCCTGAAGAATCTCGTGGGCGCAGCTCGGAGAAAAACGCTTTGGTTGTGGGGGTTTGTAGTTTGTGGGGGTTTGGACCCGGATGGGTTGAGAGCCAATTCAAGCCCTTTTCTGTGATCCTTCTGCGGCAATCGCCAGGCCAACATCGCAGCCGCTGCCAACTTCGGATTCACAACAGTAATCGGAGTGGGGGTAGCGATGTACTTCAGCTGGCGTTTTTGCCTCTGCATACTCTTATTGATACCACTGCTGGGTATCAGCGCGATTGGTGTCGGACTGAACATGCGCAAGATCGATGGCGACTACTCCAGCGGAGTGGTGTCCGAGGCCGTGAACTGTGTGAAGACCGTGACGGCCTTCGGATTGCAGGGTCGGCTAATGGAGAAGTATGAGACCAAACTCGAGAGCCACATGGAAGACGAACAGCGTATTCGACGCATCTCCGCCCTGGGAACCGGAGTTGCATCGGCGGGTGTTTTCATGATCCTGGCCATGGCAGTTTTTGGCATCAACGTCTTTATCTCCCGGGGCATGATGCAGGTGGACATAGCCACGATTGTGATCATGGTTCTGGTCACCACTGTCAGTGCTTTCGGTGAACTTGCACGCCTTGTGACCGACACCAGCTTGCCGCAAGAGTCGGCTCGTCGGGTCTTCAACATCATCGCGAGGAAGTCCAAGATCGACCCCTTCTCCGATGAGGGCCTCAAGCTACAGCAAGTGAGTGGCAAGGTAGAGTTCCGAAAGGCAAGGACCTGCCTGCAGTTGCCTGTGCCCGTGTTGCATTCTCACTAATACTTGTAGCTCCCTCTGTTAGGTCCATTTCCGCTATGCAACGCGGCCGAACCTTGCCGTCTTCAACGGGCTGAGCTTCACCATCGAACCGTGTACGACAACTGCACTCGTGGGACCCAGTGGCTGTGGCAAGAGTACGGCTGCTACTTGGCCTCTGAGAGTTGGGATCTGGCGCGGACAATAAGCACATGCGCAAGCAAGCCCAAGCCCCTGTGTTGCTTCGAGCCTTTGGGGCTTCCGTGCAGGTTGGTCTGCTGCAGCGCTTCTATGATCCACTCGGCCTGGGCCTTTCTGAGATTGCATGCACCGGTGAACACCTGTGGCGCATGGGCAGAGATTTGCACACACCAGTTTGGCACAAGTTTGCATTCCGAATTTCTTTGAAGCCAAGATGGATCCATCCTCTTTGATGGCCACGACCTGCGCAACTTGAATTTGGCCTGGCTTCGAGCGCAAATGACCCTTGACCAGTTTCAGCCAGTAAACGTGGGGGTTAAGGGAATGAAGCATGTCGGGCCCAGAGTGTTGTTGCCATCACATCCAGCATCTTGGATCGAGGAGCATGGTACAGCAGGAGCCGATCCTTTTTTCGCGCAGCATTCTGGACAACATCCGCTACGGGCAGCAGGAGGGGCTTAGCTGTGCACATGATGCAGGTTGTGTGTTGCTAGATCCTGCGAGATGGCGTGAGACGCACATCGCCACGGCAGGAGGCAACCATGGAGGAGGTCGAGGCTGCTGCGAAGGCTGCCAATGCCACTGACTTCCTGAACACCATGCCCCAGGCAACGGTGGAAGAATTGCATGTTGCGGTATGTTGCAGTGAGCACCGCGACTTCAGATTCCTCAACCTGTCAGGGCTTCAGCACGCAGGCAGGCCATCGTGGAGCACATCTGAGTGGCGGGCAGCGCCTGGTCCGCAACTTCCATGATCTTGCCGATGCGATCAACAGCCGGAGGCAGTTTGCAGCTGGACACATCCGGCACGGTCGGTACGGTTAACCTCTCTTAGGAAGCAGCGCATCGCGATCGCTCGCGCTCTGCTGCGTGATCCGGCTGCTGCTCGGGCCGCATTCGACAGCTTGACTGGGAGACAGCAGGGAGGGAAGAAGCTAGAGAGAGACATAGCAAGCGAGCAGAAGCCAGCAAATCAGAAGACGAGCTTGAAACGCTGAACTTCCTTACTGACCATTGTCAGGCTTTCCAGGCACTGAGCTGAGGCGAAATGTTCAAGGTCCAGAGACTCAGAGACATCTCAAGACCAAGTAGAACTGCGCTCCTGCTCCCCAGAAGCCGATCTTCAAAGCGCTTCCGGTGAAGCTAGCTTGTCTTGCGTCTTGCCACCGCAGATTTTACGGTTGACCTCTCCTCGTTTGGTGTGGAAATCTTTCTTTCGAATGATATGAAAGTAGGCAGGAAAGAGTTCCAGTAGCGAACGAACCCGCTCCAGCAAGTGTTCGTCCCGCGCAGCACGCTCCGATCCAGGTCTTACTGCTCGACGAAGCCACGAGTTCGTTAGATGCCGTCAGCGAGCGTTTGGTGCAGGATGCATTGGACCGGCTCCTTAGCAGGAAGGCCTTTGCTTGCAGTTCGTTATTGCATTTTCTGCCATGCTGCAAGCTAAGGCTGGTGAGATCCAAGCCACGCACGACCATCATCATCGCGCACAGGCACTATCCAGTTCCGAGCTGCGCTGCGAAACCAAGTGCCCAGCAGTTTTTTTGCATGTGAAGTTGCGATCAGGTTGTCCACCGTCCGAAGTGCCGACCAGATTTGCGTCTTCAGCCATGGCGAGATTGTAGAAACGGGCAGACATGCGGCTTCCTTGCAAGTTATCCCCTTCTGTCGCGGCTGTGCGGCCACCCTGAAGGCAGTAGTTCCTGCGAATGTCAGGAGCAGTTGATGGAACTGGATGGCCACTACTCGAAGCTAGTGGCAGCTCAACAGTGGCTGGAACGCAAACATGCATTCGCATAGTCGCACAGTGCAGTAACTACATCAGCCGATGCACGCAAATGGGGAGGGGAGAAGAGACAAAGAGAGAAGGAGAGCAATTCCCATGGCGAAGGCACCCACTTTGTCGAAGTCCAATCATTAGGGGATTGTCGTCGGGGCACCTGGAGGAACCACCTTGTACAAACTGGGCGCGAAATTTGCTTCCTGAGCCCTTTCGGTCCCACACAGACGGGCCTCCCAAAGTGTTTGAGAGAGCCAAGCCCCGGTGCGCGAACGCACGGGGTACGGGGACTTCCTGTGCCGTCCCTCAAGCCCTGGCGGAGAACTTGTGTGTGTGTGTAAAGTATAAATTCTAGATGTGGTCAACAAATTCCTCCGATGTCGAGGGGGCCCGGGGGACCTGGTTCGCTCCATGAAACCGTGAAGAAGAAGAGCGAGAGCGAGTTCCTCGCGGTTGAAGAGGGGGGAGAAAATCTCAGCCATCGTGCTGGAGCAGTCGCAGTCTCAGGATCTCAGTCTAGTGATCTGAGCCGTCATCGCCGTGACGGCTTAGTACAGGCAGACTTCGCATAAGTCCGAGCACATAGTCATAGCTAGCCTCGGAGAAGGTTCGAAGAGCCTTTCTGCCGAGATCTCCAGCATTTTTGCTCCTGGATTTTCCGCTTGTCCTGTCGTACTGCTTGAGCGGATTGTGAACAACTTTCAACCCGCCTTGTGCACAGGGCTTTGGAGCAACTAAGTCAGTTTCAACCTGCTACTTTGACCTAGCATCCTTGACCGCCTTGCCAGTGTGTGAGACTGGGCGAAAAGGCTGCGGTAGTGGGGCCAGTGATGATTCATTTCTGCTGCTTTGCGGACATCATGAGTCATGCAAGGCCGCATGCTGGGGAGCTTGGGCTTGACATGCTTACGTACTCCAGTGCATCGTTGCGTCTGGTCAAGTGGTCGTGCAGGCGCAGCAGTATGCAGCGGAGCGGACGCCTGCAAGCGACAGGACCACCCAGTACATCGGAATCGCAAGATTTGGGGTGTTTGACCTGTGCCTCATTGGAACCCTCCCTCGCAAGACGTGCCCTCTTGGACGCCGGTACAAAATCATACATACATTTGTGACCCAAGACCTCCCATCAGCACGTGTCCAGAACCACGCCTGCTACCCTGTTCTGTTTCCTGTGCTCGGAAGAGTGCGCCGCCAACTCTTTCGCTGGTGGATTCGGTGTTCAGCCTGTGATTGGGGATGGGCCCTCATGCACTGCACCGCCCGCAAAGGAGGTTCTATCCGGAGCCACAGAAAGGGTTGCTGCTCCAGCCGCTCGGTCAGTCCGACTTCCGCGACTCTTCGAGTTTCTGCCACCACAGCTTCGAAGGAGACTGCAAGACCCTTAGGCCGGTGTATCCCCTGGATGACTTGCCGAAGCAAATCTGGTGCACCATCACCTGCAAGTCTCGTTGTTCGTACCTCACGTTTTGGTTTAAACCTGAAGCCTGACGTTTGCAGCAGAGCGAGGTACCCGGCCAGCGATCTCCCGACTGGAGTAAAGTCGGTAGATGAGGTAGAACCAGAACCTGAGGCCTTGCTTGTCCTTGACCTGCACTGCTTGGCTTGAGTTCGTGTCACTGTTCGACAATTTCTGATGAAGGGATTTGTTGTATCTATTCTCCCAACAACGGCCACCAGCTGCCCTTGTCCCCTGGATCACTGCGTTACCCTGAGTTCTTTCGGGCTTGAACATCTGACAGTCCATGTCTGACCAGCACTGCGCCGCCTAAGCCGCCGCTTGCTCCAACTTAGATTCCTAGTCGTCGTATTGTGAGAGCTCGGCTTCCATGGTAGTGCAGGCGCAGGTCCACCCCTTAGGGTGCAGAGCAGCAGTGCAGCTGTGTGCCTGCAGTTGCTGCTGGAGTGCGTGCTCAGCTGCAGGTTGAATATGCGGACCTGGAGGCATTGCTCGATCGGAAGCATCAAGAGTTGATGGGTCGCTTCGAAGAGCTTCTCGGCAAGGGCACATCAGCCACATTTGTCGGGACGGCTCGAGCCATGTCTGTTGCCAGTGAAGCAGCTTCCCGCTGAGGCTTTTCGGCCACTTGATGAGATCCGCGGACATGAGCGAGATGGGGCCGCGGAGTGCCGGTATACAGCCCTTAGCGCTGGAGCCCGCTGGTGGAAATGGGACTGGAGCGGTTCCTGTAGACTTCAGACTCATTCCACTCCACAAGCTGTGTTGAGATGCTTTCAGGCAGTGTCTTCATTGCATGCCCCCCATGCAGCACAACATGCTGTAGAGATGAGGATCGAGAATAGTAGCTGAGGCCGGAAGCCACGAAGCCTGCAGTTGCACCAGCTGTTGCAGCAGACTCCGCAGACATCGCTCTACAAGCCGGCACTGTCACAGAAGCTGCTGCAGCTGCGCCTACCGATATCGATCGCTCGAAGTCATACGAGATCGCCAAAGAGCGGCTCTCATTACAGCAGGACCATTTGAGGGCGTTGGAGCCTGTCATGGAGAAAGCGAACAGCATGCCACTGTCCGTGGAAGCTACCGAAGACCCTTCGACAACATCACGCTTTGCAAGCTGCGTAAAATCCTGGAGGTTCGAAACATTTTTCGCAGGTGTTCTTGTCAGCAACGCAATTTTCCTCGGCGTTCAGACGCAGTGGACTTCGTTGCATTTGCAAGAAGACTTGCCCGGCGTCTTCCTCGCGCTGCAAATGATATATGCCGTCTTGTTCATCCTGGAGATCTTGTTGAGACTTGCGGCATGGGGCCCGCTTGGTTTCTTCTGTGCGACGGACTGGGCTTGGCATCTGCTGGACATTCTCGTCTCTGCCACTGCAGTTCTCGATCTGGCAGCCGTCGTGGCAGGTATTGAGGCAAAGCCCTCTTCATCGAGCAGTGGTTTTCGTTTGCTGCGGATCATGAAGATTGCTCGTTTGGCACGAGCCATACGCATGGTCAAAGTTCTGCGTTTCATTCGAGCATTGCGGGTGCTCGTGTTTTCCATTTTGTACACCCTCAGATCTTTGGTGTGGTCTTTGGTTCTGCTTCTGGTCATTATCTATGCATTCAGCATACTTTTCAGTGATGCTGCGATCGACCACGCCTTGGAAAACAACCTCGTCGCGAGGCTTGTCTGCGAGGATGCAGGTTGTGATAGGTTGTGTTAACAGAGAGCCAGTTCGGAGATGCGTGCAGTAGGAGAGATGCTTATGTGTACATATGTGTACATGGGCAGCTCGGCAAAACCTGATGCAAGGACTCCTGACGATCATCCTATCATGGCTCACTTCGGATCACCAGTTCGGTCAATGAACACGCTTTTCAGATCAATATCTGGCGGTGTGACTTGGGAAGGTCCTGCAGATGCTCTCAGTGGCATTGGCTGGGAGTGGTCGTTAATCTTCACACTCTACGTTGCATTTTGCTGCTTTGCCGCGGCTTGGATCTCAAGGAATTAAGAATTCAGTCTTTTCACAGTTGTTGCGAAAGCAAATAAAGTAGGTCACCCCAGTGCTGCACGTGCAGCTTGCACACCGCACCCCTCCGCTGGTCGCGGGAGCTTGACTAAGTGGCACTGATCAAGAGCCATGTGTTAGACACAACTTCGCTGTATAATCGTGCCATGGGAGTGCGTGCGGCAAGTGCTGCAGGAAAGGCATCAAATCAATTTGTCGTGGCTGTCTTGCACTGGCAAAGCTGAGGTTTTAAATGTCATGGACAAGTTCTCAGTTGATTCATTGGTGCACGCATTGCAATTGCAAGCAATGCAACCATGAGCGGTTCTGCTCTTGCGATTGTTTAAGGTCGGTGTCTTTTGCCATTCTGCCATCACGGGGGCTGAGAAAGACCAAGACCTGCTGGTGCAATCGCTGCTTCAGGAGAAGGAAAGCTTTAGGGAGCGGCTATTGCAGCTCTTCAGGTCATTCGACGACGACGAAAACGGCATAATCACGTTGCTGGAATTCGAGAGCAGGTTTGAGGATGAGTCCGTCCGAGCTCTCTTTGAAGCTTTGGAGCTTGGTGCAGTTCTCAGTTGTTTAACTCGCCATGAACATGCAGCGTTTGGGCGCAGTTGAAATCGCTGCGGTTTTGAGTAATTACCAGTTGCCAGTCGCTGTAGCGGTGGGTAGTAGTCGTCGTAGTAGTAGAAGAAGCAGCAGTAGGAGTAGCGGCAGCAGCAGCAGGAGTCGGAGTCGGAGTCGAAGTGGCCGTGGCGGTAGCAGTGGCAGTGGCAGTCGTCGTCGTGGAACAGCAGGAGCAGTACTTGCTACATTAGCAGTGCAGTAGCAACAACACACCAGCCGGAAATTCGGGGTGATTTCCGATTTCACACAGGATTGGAAATGTATTGATCAGTGGGTTGTTCGAGCGCAGGAAATCTATCATCGATGACTATTCTAAGCCTGCGGAGGGAGCTGAATCTCAACAGAACAAGGTCTACCGGAAGAGAGAAAGCAAAAGACCAGGGGGTCCGTGATGCAAGTTGTCTCCTTGTTAATCCTTTTGCCTGTGCTGACTCAGGATTGGCGTGACTTTGCGAAATAGGTCTAGAACAGATCCAGAAACCCTAGCAAGTCGTGGTGGTGCTGCCAAATCGCCAGATCGGAGGGGATAGTGGATAGTCTTGTTTTGATGTTTGCCTACTGAACCCACTAGGGTGTGATCGGGTGGAAGTGGAAGCCCCAAAAAAGACGTCAAGTAGCTGATATGGCAGGCAGGGCTACCAACTGACTCTTCCAGGCCCGAGAAAGTCATCCCGGAAGGATTTGGGTTTCATTCGGCGCAGAGCCAAAAATCACCGGATATGCCGGTTGCCCCAGCACATGGTTTTTGCTTCTTTCCGTGAAGATCTAAGATTCGTCTCCGGGTGCCCAGTAGTCCGACACTTTTGAGACCAGATTTTCTTAGCACGTCACGTCAAGTACTTGGCAACAAACTGCGGGCTTTCCGTTTGCGGTATTTATTCAAGAATTTGAGGGGACCTCTCTGGGGTGCTGCATCATGCGACCAGTCTGTCAGATTTCCTGGTCGACCCCAGGGTTTTTGGTTTCCCATGCATCTTGTGGGACTGGCTGCCCGTTTATGCGTCCCGTGGCGTTGAGTGGACTTCGAAACGTTTTTGCAGCAAAGACCTTGGCGGTAATGCTTGCCCATACTAGAAGCTGACAGCGAATAGCTCGTATCTCGATAAATTTTGTGGTCGTCGCTTTTGTTTCAGTGTGCTTTGTGCTTGCTCGTTGCTCCTCAAGCTTAGATTGGAAGCTGGCAAGTCCGAAATTGCTTTCATCAACTGCAGCCTTGGAAACGTGTAATTTTAATAGCATACTTTGCAGACAGAGAGGATCTTGAGGAAAAACTTAGGACATCAGACTTAAGTGACTTGGGTCTGTTTGGCTGAGGCTGAGCATCTTACGGCCCGAAGCCCATAAGATGCCCAACTCGTGTCTCTCTTACTCCGCCCGAAGCACCAAAGTACCCGAAGGCTTGTCAAACCTTTCAGCCCAATACCTCTCTCTCCCTATGTCAGACCTCGCGAGCCGGGCACAGTTTCCAAGCAATGCGAGAGGGAAAAAAGAAGCGTACAGAGGGTGGAATCGCACAACTTCAGATCCCATAGACTGCTCCCTAGATTTTCCCACACATCCCCAAATTCTTGCTGTCCAAAACCTCTTGGATGTATTGCTTGCGATGTGTTTTTTGGGCCAATGGCGCGGTTTGAGGGCATTGGCAAGAGTTACATGAGGGCGCTACGCTGCGATTTCGCTGAAGGATGTAAGCAACTAAGGCGCTGCTGACGCTTGGACACTCTTTCAGATGCTTGATACTGATGGAAACAACTACATCCATGCCGACGAATTTATCGACAGCTGCATTCGCATGCGCGGATCTGCGCGATCTGTCGATGTTTGTGGCCTCAGGCTGCAGACTAGCAAGATTCGAAGCCAATTGTCCGACCTCACTAGGGCAGCCGAGCAAATGCGAGCTGCTGTTCTGGAACTGGCCAAAGGCCACCAGGTGAGGCTGGTCATCTGAGCGTACAATTTCTCCGATGCAGAAAAGAAGAATCGTTCACGATGTTCAAGCCTTTCACCTAAAAGGCCCGTAAAACTTTCACCTGGGATCTGCGACATGTTTGCTGGTTTCCTGGACAAATATTGGTAGCAGTTGAGCCATAGTTGGAGAACAGTATCAGATGCAAGAAGCATTCGATAGGAGCTGATCGATCCATGCTTAGACCACACGATGGGCTTAGTTGTCCTTCGCAGCACGGCAGCCGTCCCCCAACAGCATTTCACACTGGATAATGACGTAAGCGACCTGTTGCACATTGGCAGCGACACGTTGGAGAAGGGTTGGAGTTCACAGTCCTAGAAACTCCTAGTATTTGTGAGTTTGTGGCCTTCAGCGCTTCTGGAAGCTTGAAGCTCTGAAAAGCCTTGTGTAGCGGTTTTGAACGTTGCAGGGTCCACATGGGTTTCAGTGCAAATCCGAATGACTGCCCCTAAGAGCACAGGCAGCACGAGCACATGCAAGCACTGCACATCGGTACTGTACATCCCATAAGCGTACTATATGCCACTATATGCAGCAATTTTCAATCCATTCGATTCCCTGGTCCTCCCTTGTCCTTGTGCAGCACAGTATCGAAAATTAGAGCTCTGTCGTGGCCTTTGTGAGTTCCTGAAGACGGGAGAGCTTCGAGCTGTCGTGCATAGTACTGCTCAGCACTGATAAGCGCTGCAGGCTGTGAAAGACAAAGTCTGGCTCTGAGTGGTTCGGACCGGCCGCTCCCAGCGAACATGCCACTGCACAGGGTAGATTCAGGGGGTTCTGGCATCTGTGGCTTCGCGAGACCTTCATATAACTTCCGGAAAAAGCTGCTGCACTGCTGCCAGATGATTTCCCTGTGGCTCCGAAGGAGACTGCACAGGAACTTAGGAACTGCAAAAGCAGACAGGTCAAGAGCACCCAGAGCAAGCGACTTGCTTGGTTGGTCGGTTCCGCCTTGCTCTGAGTCGCTGCAAGATGTGGCTTTGTTGTCAAAATCTGCTGGGCGGGCCTGGTTGAAATGAGAAGTACAGGTTCCATCGAAGCATGTGTCCCCACGCGCTGCCCGCGGCAGGTTCCAGCCCCGCCAGAGCTTTCTGCTGCACATGCTGACCAGGTTGAAACCTCGGAGTCATCACAGAATGCCAGTGGCTTCACGATTGCCAGCCTGAGTATGGCTGCAAGTCACGTGTTTTCAGTTTTCTGTCAGAGCACAGCCGGGGCTCAAGATGTGAGACGATCACAACCTGGCCGAGCACCGCTGAGGCCCTGTTTGCCTCTATGAGGCATTTTTGCACCTGTGTGTGTGTGTCTGCCTACCTGCCTGGCTGCCTGGTCTCTCTGTCTCTGCCTCTGTCGCTGCCTCTGCCTCTGTCTGTATGTCTGGCTCTCTCCCTCTCTCTCTGTCTCTGTGTGTGTGTGTGTGTGTGTGTGTTCGTGCATGTGTCTGTGTGTGTTTATTTGTTTGTCAAGTCTGTACCTCCTTTCCCAATGTTTAAACGCGCAGAACATGTGCAATCAGAAAAAGAGGCGCATGTCGCACACAAGGTCGGCCGCCATCATCCGCCATCCAATGCCTCCCGCTTCCCATCATGACATCTGCAGCGTCAACGACTGTCAGCTTAGAACAGATTGGCTATAGGACCGCTTGGCTTCACAGCACCGGGAGGCCATGGCTTCGCCGGAGTTGTTCCTGCAGGCCCTGCAGCTGCAACAACTCCAGGCCAGGCTCTGACCGCGATTCTGGAAAGACAGCTCCATCTTCGGGGAGTGGCAATCCTAAGTCCTTGTAGAAGAGCAGACCAAGCAAGCAGTCTGCATGCCGTAATGTTGCTTGTCGTCCTGGTCCTAGTCCTAGTCCTGCTGAAGCTGCTGCAACAGCTGCAGGCGCTGCAAGCCCTCCAGGCCAGTTTTCCGATGGTCGGAGCTGTCCCAGCCACGGCTACAGATGCAGTAGCGGCAGCGGCCGCGTCAAACCCTGTTGCATTGGCCACGCTGTCTGGGGCGTTGCCCTTCGCGGCACTCGCAGCACCGGTTGCTGCAACTGATGCGATGAATGCCTCGCCACCTGGCAGAGGAATGGGTTGAGATCGTGATCTCTGCATCGACCTCACGGGGATCGCTTGCTTCAGTTCTCAGGCTGTACCCGTCAGGGAACAAGGTGAAGACGCAGATGTGCTTGAAACCCAGACTGTGACCGGATTCCAACTCTCTGTCTGAAGTTGATCGAGCATAATTGCAGGTAGATTCTTCCCTTTCGGCACCTGCAGCAAGGGAGAGGCCCGCCACAAAGGGGGGAATGCTTGCAGAATTCAAAGTTCAAGATGCAAATGCCGTCCGACAGCTGACGTTCTCTAGATGACCAGGCTTGCGCTTTCGCGCATACGGAGACGGAGCTCGGGAAGCCGGTGGTTGAAGCAGGGACTGAGATCGCACCCACGCCTGCTTCAAAGGTAATGAGGGCAGGCGACTGGATCCTCGGCGTTGTTGGTCACACGACCGGACGCAGAAACAAACAGAATGCGAAAGAGTTACCATGTTTTCAACACGTGTCGTAGTCGTCGTCGTCGTCGCCGTTGTTGTTGTTGTGGTTGTTGGTTGTTGGTTGGTGGTTGTTGGTTGTTGGTTGTTGGTTGTTGGTTGTTGATGTTGGTGGTGGTGGTGCTGCTGCTGCTGCTGCTTCGGGACACCCTCATATCCCCGGGCGTTCTAGAACTCGGGGTTGCTGATCTTGCGGGTTCTCAATCATCTTGAGCTTCTGAACGAAAGAAGCAAATTCTAATTCGAATAATCTAGCGGCAATGAGAAGCACGAAAGTAACGATGCGACAGTAGAGCAGAAGGGCAAGGAAGATGTGATGAAAAACCTCTCCTGGTGGAGCCATGTTTGGAATTGTGACTGTTGCAATGACAAACGAGCGACCTGTCCATTTTCTCGACCATGTGGTCCTCGCAGATCCACACCCACAAGCCGAGCCAAGATTCTCTTCACTACTGCCTGCAACCAAGCTAAATCCAAGGCAAAGGGTGGCACATGTATCAATATTCACAGTTCTGGAACATGCACGCTAGAAGCCGCAGCAGATGTAAACTAAATCACTCGGAGAAAAACTCAGTTAGACAGCAGCTTGATCAACTGCATTTGCGTCAGCGTATGCATCACGTGCTGCCATCATATGTGAAAAAGCAATTTCAATCGTCCCTTCTCTTGGTCAAGAAGCAGGCGCTGCAGGGATCAGACGGCACACCGAGCCCGGTCCGAGATCTGAACAGATCCACACTTCAAGATGAGTCTGACATGTGGGGAAGCTGCAGGGCGAAGAAGTAACATCAGGCCTCATGGTCCCAATATGTGTGCTCCATGCCTATATAGCATCTATATAGCCTCCTACCCCCATACCACGCATCATTGGAGGAATATTAGACGAGCCTGCACCGACCCCCTCGAGTCGGGAACACCTGAGTTAGGAAGGTCCAGGGGACGAAGTCAGGAGCCCCTGCCCGATCGGAGTCAGGAACAGAACAGGCCCAAGTCGAGAATACAAGTCCGCAGCGGGCTGGGCGAAAGCACTGCCCAATGAAGGGGGCTCAGGAAATAAGGTCAACCGCATCGCTGCGTGATGGGAGCAGAAGGCTACATAAGCGACATTGCTAGCGCGTGGGCACGAGAACAGGACCGAACCAGTTCAATTTCCCCATAGCTTGCCGCGACACAGGACCACAACCCAAACACAAATCACGTCACCCTCAAGACAAGCAGATGAATATCGCAGTTGTTTTCAAACGTTATGTTAGTTTTTGGGATGTTCCTCCTAGTGACTGTTGTTTCAGCCAGCTCGTTGCCCGAGCTTCGAAGCTTGGCCAAAATATGCAACAATCCGGAACAAGCAGCAAGCAGCGAACGCCTCGGTTGGGCATCTCCAGCAGTGTTCAGAATCATACCCAAATATCAAATATCCCACTAAATTGAAGCAGATGATAGCCGAGAAGGTTCGCGAAACTATCAGGAAGCTCTACAACAACTTGCGGCGTGCAGTTCAACAATGCCGCGAGAAATTTACAGAAGGCCCCAAAGCACAAGCGTTTATCCCGATCTTGTTCAACATTGTTGTTGACCTGCATGCAACTATTCAGCTAGTGTCAGACCTCGCGAGCGGACATTGCATTCCAGCCAAGCGAGAGGGAAAAGATTTTGTTCAACTACATATGTATGTGCTCCGAGAGATGTACATAGTGAAGTCCGGAAAGCGTAAGCGTTTACCCCGGTCTTGTTCAACATCTATGTGAATCTATGTGCTGCGAGAGATTTAGAGAAGGCCTCAAAGCATAAGTGTTTATCCCGATCTTGTTCCACATCTATGTTTTGCGAGAAACTTTCAGAAGACCTCAAAGCATAAGCGTTTACCCCGACTTGTTCAACGCCTTCGCGAAGCGAGAGATTTAGCGAAGGCCTGAAAGCATAAGCGGCTACCCCGATCTTGTTCAACATCTATGCGCTCCGAGAGATTTAGAGAAGGCCTCAAAGCGTAAGCTTTTACCCCGATGCTGTCACACATTTATGTGCTGCGAGAGATTTAGAGAAGGTCTCACAGCGCCAGCGTTTATCCCGATCTTGTACCACATCTATCATGTTGTGAGAGATCAAGTGTTATCCAGATCTTGTTCCACGTCCATGGGTTGCGAGAGTTTTAGCGAAGGCCTCAAAGCATAAGCGTTTGCCCCGATCTTGTTCAACCTCTGTGTGCTGCGAGAGCTTGAGGTGTCACCGAAAACGGCAACCTCATTGTAGATGTGTTGGCCTTCCCAAGAACCTTTGAATGCGTGCGATATTCAGCCTTGCAGATGCATCTAGCGGTTCGAAGCATTACCATTAACCTGGTCTGTTCCGGACTCGGCCCCTGTGTTGTTCCTGACTGCGCAGCCGTTGTTCCCAACTCTGTCTCTTTCTGTTCTTGACTACCAATCTCGCCTCGTGCGGCTGACTCGCCTCCCATCGCTCATCGGAGCGCAAAGAGCAAGGGAAAGAGCAAGTCATGTCACTTTGTCTGGGAGCAAGCATGCGCCAAAGCTGTCATTTATGTAAGGATGTGCGAGTGTGGCAACCACAACTTCGCGATTCTTGGCATAGCACATACAACCGACAGGTTCGATCCTCGTTCCGACGAGGAGTACATGATGCAAACAAACGTATAAGGAGCCGCATCTACTGCAACAGCTGCGGCAAGCTCAGACCCGGAAAAAAAGCTGGGGACTGGATGTGCAGCAATTGCCGTTCAGACTCTCGGTAGCACTGGCGGTTGCCGTAGAAGCAAAGAAGGCGGGGAAAATGTCATTGATATGAAGACTCAGGAAAACGATGCTGCCAGAGAGATGCCACTTGACTATACGAAGTGTCAGCACCGCCCCTACTTGCCGAAGCCAACCCGCAGCGAACGTGCGCCACAGGACACTTCGCCTGACTTTGCGCATTTTGCGCACATCGCCTTAAAGTTGTGTCCTTGTCATTTCTCTGCACTATCGGCTCCGCCGAAAGAAAGCACATACCGCCCACAAGTTTTATGTGCTTCTCCGATTTCTGGACAAGCTTCGCAAAAAGACTCAGGCAGACGCTCCGGGGACCTTTCTTTAATCAACCAAAATGTGGTATTTCAGTATCAAGCGGTGCACTGCTCAAGGTGCCAGCGATGCAACTCTGCCAAAGCCAATGCAAATCTGACGGAAAAGATGGAGGCCTCCTCCACAGCCAAGGGGGGACCGTCGTTGGCTCAGACCAGCAGCTAGGAAAATTGTAAAGCAGAGCTAGTGCTGTCCTGTACCGCCCGCTTGCATGGGACACCTTGGCAAGCACTTCAGGAGAATACGGCCATCTCCGAAGCTCAGCTATCTTACGTGATGCGGATGCTTTGTTTGATTCAGCGTTCATGTCTGAGGTATGGCAAAGGCGGCTCCGATGTCGGAGGTGTTAGTGGTAAGGGTGGCCAGGGTGGCTGGTGGGACGGCCAGTGGGACGGCCAGCCAGCGGGCCAGTGCAGACCTCGGAGCTGTGTGAATCTGTGTGATGCGTCCGAAGACCAAAGGTCATTACTAGGTCCACAAGACCGCTGATCTCTAGAAGTCAAATTTAGTCGTTTCAGTTTTGGTTTCTGCGGGGGAGCAGCATTGCACTGGGGGTCCGCGTTCAACATGATCAATGTGGGTGTTATGAGTTGTGGGCAAAAGGCCTTTGAGGGCGGTGTGTGATGATGTTTGATGCGTGAGCAGGTCGGAAGACCCGATCGTCTCCGCCCTTGCCCAAGCCGTTGATATCCTCGCCGGCACCAGCCTCGGGCCGCAGCTTAGCGACACCTTGTCTGCAAGTCACACGAGTCACACGAAGCCGAAGGCATGGCTGCTGGCGCCCCCATGCGACTCGGTTTGCTTTTGGGCGCCGGTGATCGCTTCGACCGAGCGCTCTTGCCAGCCGATCTGAGGGCCACAGGCCACAAACAACGGGAGGGCTCCTTGGCTCTGAGAGCTCTCGGAGTCGCCGCCGGTCGCTTGTTTAGCGGCTGACATGTGGGCGTTTGGGCACTTGCTGCAAGGTGACTGGTATTGCGATTGCGGCAACTACAATTTTGAAAGCCGTCTGATGCTGAGCCACCGTTCCATGCAGGTCAGACGTGTCTGTCGTGTCTGTCTGAGGTGTGAAATGTAACAAACATAGCTGTGGCAAGATACGGCCTGGCTTCGTGGACGGCGACTGGCTGTGCCGAAGAAAGGCCATTCGTCGAACTTAAGAACTTCTCGGCTCCCTTGACTGGTGGATCTTCCGCTCAGGAATGCAAAGCAAAGAACAGCAAAGTCAACGAGGCGCTTGCTCCAGGATCTGCAGGGTCCCGGGTCGCACCGTGCGTGGGTCTTCGCCAGGTCTGCACTGGCTGCGGGATTCCCAGGCCGATAGGCTTCTGAAGGTCAGCAGAGGCAAAGGCCTCACGGGCTGTTCAGGACAGGAGCCCCCAACAGGCAACGCGCGTCGCTCTGGTATTGGGGGTTCTGATCTGGGAAGTGCGGACGACAGTTGCCAAAAATGTGCGAAATCGGGCGCTGCTTGCTGAGTCGGAGGATGGAAAGCCTCTCATATCTTGATGTTTGTGTTCAGTCCGAAGGTCCAGAATCTGAAGCAGGGGCAGACCTTCAAGAACGCTGCGACGCTGTTGTCAATGGTAAGCTGCTCGCAAATATTGCAGCCTTCCGACTTTGTCATGCCCAAGTCAAACCTCGCCCAGGTGGATGTGCAGGCCCTCCCCGATGGGGGAATTCGTGCCGAAGTCTCAGAACGGGCTTTGCTGCAGCCGTTTCTCGAAGCTTCTGTCCCAAGGGATCGAAGTGAACCCCCTGAGGTGTGCAACCTGCTCCACGTCGATCCAGATGTTCCACGACTTGTCCCATCCAACATAGAAGTCCCGACCAGTTTGCTGCCGAATGGAGACCCTCCACGTGCAACAATGTTTTTGTAGTCCTTGATCTTGTGGCAGGTGCAAGGCTTCATAAAGTCAGTCCCTTGCCGTGGAGCTGCATATCTAGACATGGCGTCGGGGCACCCAGAAGTCCCAGAAGATGCTGAGTGGGCTGCAGGGGAGCTCTCCTTCGCGCGGTGCGATGAAGAGAATGGTCTTCAGGCTTCATCTGCAGCTGCCACTACCACTTACTCCCCAGGACTTGGCAGAGCTAAATTGCACTCGGGTCACGGAGAGCCGGCAATTGAGTGATGCAGGGGCCGCTGGCGCAAGCGCGCCAAGACGCCTTCGAGGAGGCTCAAAGCGCGGTCGGCTCGGGCATTCGCCCTTCAGCAACAGCTAGATCAACTGAGCTGTCATGGCCAGGTGACGATAAACGGGCGAACGTGCGAAGTTTCGAGGCGTATGGAGAGGGTGCAAGTATTAGGCATCCGCATCGTCGTGTTTCGCATTCTTCCGCGAACCAGCTTGTGGAGGCTTCTTGCGGCCGTGGTCAAAGATCAAGAAAGTGTCGAGGATGGGGCTTTGTTGCAGACCTGTGGCAGTGCCGAAGTTTGTTTTAGCACCTCTTCCTGACACCAAGCAGCCTGAGGCGACCAAGCGATGAACATTAGACTTAGGTCCCGTCATCGTGGTTTTAGTCCATTCTAGCACCAATGCTGGCAAGACGCCGGCTCGCTTGCTTCATCTGGCTTCATTGATTCTCTACGACTCTACGCTTAGCTTTGGACATCTGTACATATCTGTACAGCTTCCGGAGCCGGATCTCTCGACTCGCGTCTGCGGCATTGAAAGAGTCCATGTGTGTCAGTGCTGAAGAGGTGTGAGTTGATCTGACCACAACGAAATGCTTGGCGCCGGATGACTTGTTCTCTTGAGCTGTTTTCACACACATGTACGCCCAATGACCCATCGTGTCATTTACAGCGCAGTACCGAAGTCGCAATGCACGTCAGCAAATCAAAGCAGACCTTCCGGGAAGCGAAACCCATAAGTCGTAACATGTCTGGCGAAGACCTCGTCAGGCTTGTCCGAGTTGCGAGAGCGTAAGTCGTAACATTCCGCGGTCTAGTTGGCAATACTAGTCCCTTGCCAAAGTACAATCTTAGTACTGGAAATGCCTCGTTTAGGGTCCTGGCTTGGTTGTAGTACAACTTGAGCACCGGAAATGCCTCGCTTGGGGTCCTGGCTGGATTGTGCTCGGTTGTAGTACAATTTGAGCACTGGAAGCTCAGTGAGCAGCTAGCGTTTTGTATTTCCCTAACCTGCACCAGCCCAGAGTGCATGCTGCAATGAGGGCATGGTCGATTCTTGTTGGGTAGGGAAAGTGCAGCCGGAACTGTGCTGCTCCGAAGCAGGACGCGAAAGTCAGACAGATTCAAAAAGGGTCTAGACTGGCAACACCACGGTGCGGCTGGTTGAGCGACCTGCCTTAGAGACATGCAGGACGATCGATCTGCTTCCCCCCAAGCCAGGCTGGACACAGCCCCTTTCGACATTTCCGCCGAGTCTTTCACTGCTTTTCAACTGCTGACCGGGAGCAGGATTTCACCTTCGAAGGCTGTTGCCTGCGACTCGGAAATTTTTCTTTGCGTTCACGGTTCTCGCGTCATCGTTGGCATTGGGAGCGAGAGGTGCGGAGTACCTTCGCAGCCTTCGGCCTGATGTGCAAGCGGAAGGGCTCACGTGCGGGCATTCGGGGCCGACATGCAGCTGGCTCTTCAGCCAAGCGCTGGAGTTGGACACTTTGGATCGCCCTGCCGTCGGAAAGTATTGCCATGACGGTCTCCAGCGCACGGGCTTGACCGCAGAAATGCTGCACACGGAAGGGCTCAATCGACGCCTGGCTCACCTTTCATGCTTTCCGGGTATTGTGATGTTGCTGTCAATGTGCGCGCTGGCCGAAACTGCGAAGTCTGATTGTGGATCGGTCATATCCTCAGTGGCCGCGGCCCCTCACCAGCAAGACCCAGCGCTCTCTTTCTTTATGGTCGCCTTCAGAGCGCTCGGAATGGTGACCCACTGTATCGACCACAGTGCATGGCCTATCACTTTGGCAGAGTTCTCTTCCAACTTTCAGCTCTTCATTGAGCAGAGCTGCAACTTCGAGTGGTTACGACCACGGCGAGGCTTGCCTTTCGTGCGCAATGTGGCTGGTTCGACTCTACATGATGCGATACCGTGGTCACAGAGTGGAGTTCAGAATCATATGGAAGTGCACATGCGCCTTCATTGGGCACTTGGTGCATGGGACAATCGAAAATATTGGGAGCACAAGATGACATCCTCACCAGGGAAGCTCGCGCAATTTCGATTTGCAGACCAGCTTGACTTCTGCGAGCTCGCTCGAGAGCTCGAGAGCTTCAGTGACAATTTAGTACGCGAGCCGTATCTAGACTCTAGACTACATACCTGTACAAGTCTGTATAAGCCTGTAGTTAGGCCTGTCCTTTCTTGTGTTTGTGGTTGCTTTGAACCGGAGGCTCCCAGTGATTCGGGTGCTTGTTCTTGGGTCTGGCCCTGTGGCTGCGACGCGCACCTTCACGTGCCCCTACGGCGCAGTGGGCGAAACGATCTCTTGTGATGCCTTTTCCCGGCTTTACCGGCAGCTGGCTGCCGAGACTGGCTTCACGCCGCCAGAAGGCTTTCCAGAGAGCCTTGGCGTTGATCGGCATGTAGCAGCTGCAGGCTTGCCTACTATAACCGGCTTCCACCTGCTCGATTGCTTTAGATCGTCAGACAAAGCAGCAGGTATTGTGACGTCGAGGAGCTCTGGCATGTGTATCCGAAGGAATACTTTCACATAGTCTACGTCAGCAATGCACTGGACCACACAGTCCACCCACTGCGTGGGTTGAAGATGCTCTTGTGGGTACTGCACAAGAACGGGGTGCTGCTGCTTCATCACTTAAGGACTCCGATCCTTCCCATGCGCATTCTGTGAGTCTGTTGCTGCCTTGATGCCGGTCACGTCTCGTGTTCGTGCAGGAATGTCCACCCCGAGAGTTGGACATCCCTTTCAGATGGCCAGCATCAGTGGGGCTTCGACACAATATCCAGTCCTGAAGGATCTTAGCCAAATTATGTTGGACATGTTTCAGAGTGACACAGGCCCTCACTGCCTGCTCGCTAGGGCTCTTGAGATAAGGAGGCCGGAGTTTCGTAATCTGGAACCATCTTCATCGATGGATGCTCGGATTCAAGTCTGATTGATATGAACAGAGAAGAGCTCGCCCGGTCCACGCAAAAGCACCGGATTCAAAAGAAATGAGTCAGCTCGTGAGACCCCAGATGTCATAACACGCTTTCACGAGGAACATCTCGCGGCTATTGGCAGACGACGGTGCAGCAGTGTCCGCGTCGTACAAGGAGCCATTTGCCGCTTGTCCCCAATTTGACAGCGGCAGCAACCAGCTTGACATACAAGCAATGGGCAAGTGAGGTCGATGTGAAGATTCAGAAGACCGCCGATTTTAAGCACACTGGCGACTTACAGCTGCGAGAAAGAATGTTGTCATCGCCGGCTTTCTTTTGTTATAGACTTTCAGTGAGGTTAAGGCTGTCGGAGATCCACTGAAGTCCATTGCCCTTTGGCTCGGGCCCAGGCGAAACAGACAACATCTGCAGCTTTTTGCACCTCCGCTGCCTCTCTCCGCTGTCCCTCGTGCCATGGCAAAGCCACACGCTACTCTGATTTTCTCTCGGCATGGAGAGTCCCAATGGAACGTGGACAACAGGTTCACCGGATGGGTAGATGCAACGTGGCTGATTTTGCACATTCCCAGCATTCCACTCCACTCTTCCGTGAGGCATTTGCCTTTGTCGCAGGTCGACCTGTCCGCAAAGGGCCTTGGCGAAGCCAAAAGCGCCGGCAGCTTGCTGAAGTCGGAGGGCATTAAGGTGGATATGGCCTTCACTTCCTACTTGAAACGTGGCTGGGTGAAAGATGATACAAAGCAGCAGCTGTCTCGAAAAGCGGTGCCACGGCATGTCGCAGTCGCTGCATTCGCTGCCAGGTGCCATCAAGACATGTGATTTGGCGCTGGAGAATGCTGATCAGTTGTTTGTTCCCGTGGAAAAGAGCTGGCGACTCAACGAGCGCATGTACGGCGGCCTTACAGGCTTGGATAAGAAGGACACAGATGACACAGTAAGCAGTTCTGAAACAGCAAAACGCACGTGTCCTGGCCCGTCGCCCTGCCGAGGAGACGGTGAAGAAGCACGGCGCCGATCAGGTCCAAGTTTGGCGACGCAGCTTCGACGTGCCGCCGCCACCAATCGACGACGACAGCGAGTTCAACCCCGCAAAGGCACGCATCCGGACTACGCATCCGGATGCAAACTCGACTACATGCGCTAGCCTGCATAAACTCTGAGTATGACGGAGTGCCGGCCTCTCTTGCTAGCATAGAGAAATGAACCTGTCGGGAGCCTTCTTTGAGCTAACAGTCGACATCATGAATTTTCCCCTGTCTCCTTGTCAGGAGAAGAAGCGACTTGACTCGGGTAAAAACGGGAGAGGAGGGGCGCATGTTGCGCTTGTCTTGTGCAGGAAGTTGCCGGGTCTGAGGTATGCCGCTCTGAACAAGGCGGACATCCCCAAAACAGAGTGCCTCAAGGACACGATTGTCACTCAGCTTCGGTCATAAGCAAGTTCTTTCAGCATGCACATCATTTGCTGTCCACAGCACGTGATCCTCCTTCATGTTTCCAGATTCCCTTGTAAATTTGTAGGCCACGCTGAGGCCCGCGTGATGCCGTTCTGGGAATCGGCGATTGCCCCAGAGCTGAAGAAGGGCAAAACCATTTTCGTCGCCGCCCACGGAAATTCTATCCGGGCAATCCTCAAGTTCTTGGAGGGCATCTCCGATGACGACATCACAGGCTGGTGGATCTTGCAATCAACATGGGACACACTTGACGGCACACTGCACAAGACTGCCGGCTGAACATGAGCTGGCGATGCTGCATGGTGTGAGCGGGTAGCCCTGACTCAAAAACCTCCCACATTGACACACGTACGGGGAAGACTTGCGCACTGACATGGACATGTTCAGGAATTCGCTTGCTTCATGCTTGAGGCCTTGAAATCCCCACTGGTCGCCCGCTCATGTACAGCTTGGATGCGGACGGGCTCCTTGTTGCAGTCATGCCAGACTTGCCCTATAGTGCTCCAGATGCGAGGACTTGAAGCCAATCGCAAGCGCCGACGCAATCGCGCCTCTCAAGTTCGGAAAATACTTGGGCCGCATGGATCAAGCTTGTTGCTCCGCGGAGTCTTGGAAAAGCGTCAGAGTCTTTGCGTTGGTGTATGTGAAGGTAATCTTGATGAGATCAAAGCCGCGGCAGAAGCTGTGAAGAATCAGACCAAAGTGGCGGCACCAGCAGGCAGCGGTTGGAAACTGCGTCCGTGATCTTGCCACCACATGAGAGCAGATAACGAACGCAGCTCACCTTTATTCGAACCGGCAAGTTCCATGAGATAAGGCAGCCACAGACAACCTGCACCCCACCTTGGCAGGTGCTGCTGCTCCTGACTCGAAGACGATCATGGCTGTCAAAGCCCGTGAAATCTTCGATTCGCGAGGAAACCCCACCGTCGAAGTGGACCTCTGCACTGGGACTGTCACCTGGTTGGTGCAAAAGCTGGCTTTGCAGCTCGTAAAATGCTTCCTTGGCAACCGCGTTGGGAGAAAACCGAGGCCTTGTTCCGTGCAGCCGTCCCCAGTGGAGCTTCTACTGGAATTTACGAAGCCTTGGAGCTTCGAGACGGTGACAAAGGTCGTTTGTTGGGAAAGGGCGCCTTGGATTCTCAAGCTAGGTGCTGGAACAGCTTTCACTTTTTCACTCCTTATGGGTCAACTTGCTCCTTCCGTGGCCAGCGGCCACCTGCAGCAGGTGTACTGAAGGCCGTTGCTAATGTCAACGATATTCTCGCTCCCAAGCTCTTGGGCATGGACGTCACCGACCAAACCAAGATTGACAAGATGATGGTCGAAGAGCGCCTGGACAGAACCCAGCGGTGGCACTCGCCACTCTCCCGCCAGTTGTTATCAGTTGTTTTGACTGTAAGCCCACTGAGGATCGATGGATCGAAGAACGAGTGGGGATGGCAGTGCTCCTAGAATCCCAGACCCTGTTGTGAGCAAGAACTGCCCAACCTCAAAGCCGTGGCCTGCGCCGAGGAGCAAGTCCAAAGTTGGTGCTAACGCGACCCAGAATTTGTTTCTCGCTGTGTGAAAAGCTCAGCCGCCCTATGTGCTTTACCTTGCCAAGGCAATTCTAGCTGTTTCCATGGCTGTGTGCCGTGCTGGTGCAGCTGCTAGCGGCATGCCTCTCTATCAGTACATTGCCGTGACCTTAACGATTCACAAGTTACAGACATGCCTGATTTTTTCTTGGACCTATGCGTGTTCCACAGCTCTCATCTGCGAAGGCCAAGATCTCAGGCAAGAGCACCGACAAGTTCGTAATGCCAGTGCCGTCCTTCAACGTCATCAACGGCGGAAGCCATGCTGGAAATCGACTGGCGTGCCAAGAGTTCATGATCCTGCCTGTGGGTGCTTCCACTTTCAAAGAGGCGATGGTGATTGGTGCTGAAGTATATCACAATTTGAAGAGCGTCATCAAGAAAAAGTATGGGCAGGATGCTGCCTGGCAGCAGCCAGCTTGGTGCGGCCATGAAATCAGCTCGCACTAAGCCTGGAATGCGTGAATGCGTTTCTTTCCCCTGCTTGAGAGGCCTGCAATGTTGGTGACGAAGGTGGCTTTGCCCCGAATGTGCAAGACAACAACGAGGCAGGCAGCTAGGGCCGTCAAATCTCATGCTCGAAGAAGTTATTGCGCTTCTCGCGCCAGGCGCTGGATGTGTTGATGGAGGCTATCGAAAAGTCTGGCCACAGCGCGAAGGTCAAGATCGGCACAGACGTGGCGGCGTCTGAATTCTACAGTGCCGAGGGCAAGACCTATGACTTGGACTTCAAAAACCCAAGCAGCCCACCAGATGCTCGGTCTCATGGGTTTCGGTGTCGCCTTGTGCTTCGAGAATGGCATTTCTGCGCCTGCAGAGACACGGCACAATTCCCCTCCAGGAAATGAAGAAGACTGCGCCGCAGCTGGCTGATTACTACAAGGCATGGCTCGACAAGTACCCTTTCGTCTCCATCGAGGATATTCACACAGTATGACATCTACAAACGGCTTGAAAGAGTAGCGAAGCTTTCGCCAAGCGTGTACCAAGCGTCAGGATCCGTTCGACCAAGATGACTGGGACGCCTACAAGCATTTCATGTCAGAGGCCGACAAGCCTCGGTGAAAATCTCATGAACGATACGAGCGTTGCAGTGTTGCAGGTCGGGCCGCGGGTTCAAATAGTTGGCGATGACCTCCTTGTGACGAACCCAACTCGCGTCAAGAAGGTGCCATTCTCTCACCTGGCAAGGTGCAAAGTCTTTTGAGAGCAGACTTACAGAGGCCTTGGAAGTCGGGGCTTGCAATGCCCTCCTCCTGAAGGTTGGCATCGAGCGCAGGAACGAGTGGCATTGCTGTTTCGCCTTGGAGCTTCTGCCAGGTTAACCAGATTGGATCCATCACCGAAGCTATCGAGGCCTGCTCGGGGTCTACTTCATGGCCTCTTTCACCACCAGCCCTTTCGCACAGGCTGCTACCATGTCTCAGAACGCCGGTTGGGGCGTCATGGTGTCGCATCGGTCTGGCGAGACTGAGGACCGGTGGCTTTTGAAAAGCCTGATCTTATAGACAGGTGTTGCTTTCTGTTGACGGCTGCAGAACAGGACTCCTTCATCGCAGACCTCGTCGTAGGTCATGGTTCCTGTTGCCTTCGTGCACATGGTGTACCAATGTCTGCGAGCAGGCCTCCGAACGGGACAGATCAAGACTGGCGCACCCTGCCGATCCGAGCGCCTGTCCAAGTGCCGACCCCAGTCTAGAGACTTGAGACTGTTATGATTGCCCCCCTGGGAGACAAAGACTGGCATGCCGTCGTGAAAGGTACAATCAACTCTTGCGCATCGAAGAGGAGCTCGGTGGGCTGGCGTCTTATGCTGGACCCTTACGACAGCCACAGTATCCAACGAATGTCCCCCCAAAGCAAAGCAAAGGCTTCTGAAGCATTTCGCTGCCTGCAGGCCGGCGTTGACTTCAGGTCGCCCAAGTGAGTCAGCAAATGCTGGAAGCACTGGGCGATTTTTCGTTTCTCTGCAGTTGGACTGTTAGCCTTGGCATGAATTGAGTTGGCTGAAAGTGCCCGTGAAAACAGGAGTGCCTATCAATCTCTCGAATATTCTGGTTGACATGCTCGCAAGTCTCGGTGCTGAGTTTCGTTATCCAGCCGACAACAGTCGCGCCGGCGCCGGTGCTACCTCCAGATATTCGCATCGCCATGTCCTCGGTGGCGCCTGGCAGTCCCAACCGCTTAACATCAGAAAATTACAATTCCAACGCTTCATTTTGTTTTGACCGTATCTTCGCCAGAAAACTTCACAGAAGTGCCTGCAAGGCATGGGTTTTCGTATCGCACGCGATCCAAAGTTTACATCTCTCAACTTCCCAACAAAACATCGTCCCGAGCATCTCCGTGGTCTCTCTCGTTCTCTCTGGCTTGTCTCAGCATTCATCAAGGGCATCTTGCCCACGGAAAGATTCTCAGGACTCGTCCTACGAGGGTGCGACTCCAGGGCCATTGCTGTTGCGCCTGGCCTGGCACTCCTCCGGCACCTACTGCAAGCAAACGAAAACCGGCGGGCCCGGCACCTAGCGACACAAATCACATGTCTGCAGATTCCTGCAAGCTTAGCTTTACAGACATTGTTTGGATTCATGGAGCTCTTTGTTGTATTCGATTCTACTAGCTGCATGGATGCCTGTCGTGGTTCCATGTGTTGCGGATGTTACTACATGGACACTCGCATCAGACCGCGGCTTTTCATGCGTTTCGGAAGCGATTCAGCAGATTTTAGTGCCCCTACGACCCTGCGGTGCTCCATGCTGCCAGCAAGCATGGAATAGTCATGGAATGCGTAAAACTAATGCATTCAGCGACGAAGTGCAGTGCCGAACCTAGTGGCAGGCGGAAGATTTAATTCAGCTAAGTCGTTTTTGGGCTTTTGGCCGCAGAAGCACGTATAGGAGGATTCTGCGTTTTACGCAAGTAGTTCCCATCAAGAATTTATTCATACAAGCTTCCATCCCATTGTAGGACGTTTGAGCAGCTTTCTTCGGGAAGAGCGCGGTTGAGAGAAGGAGAAGGGATGGGTGTCGACGCCGACCGTTTGCTTACGCGACGCTGTCGCAAAGCTTTCGCGCAGCTGGCGCACACTGATGCATGCACAGGCTTGCTCACTGGCTACGATAATGCTTTCAGATATGTGTTGAGGGAAGGTCCATCTACGTGGCCAGATACATGTTCGGGAAATTGAGAGAGCCTGGAATGAAACCGCGCATCATGTCGCCTGTGAAAGCACGTGAGTCCTGGTGAGAAACCTCATGAAATCGCCTCGCGAGCTTCCGTCGCATTTGTGAGTTATTGCGCTCCTAAACGAACCTATGTGGTCTGTGGGGTTCTCTAGACAGACCTGAGTTGCCTCGCGCGGCACGCACGACGACAATGTGAATTAGATGCAACTGCGGATCCTTCGACGCACGAACTATGGGTTCAGGTTTAGGGTTACAGTTGAGGGGCTAGTTCCAAGGTTTAGCAGAGCTGATAGTTCCATCCATCCTTGTTTTGCTCTCACTCCCACGTTTGCATTCCTCATCAAACGAGAAGGCCCTGCTGTTGGGGAGTGTTCGCTGGCACTCAATCCAAGAACATGCTGAAAAGGTTTAGCGGATTGATTGTTTAGGTTTCGGATTTATAGAGGTCAAAGCTTCGTGTGGGTGGCAATTCTTCCAAATAAAGGGCCCTCCAGCTAGTTCCAAGGCTTGTTTCGAGATTGGAGGATGCAGTACTTTTGGATGACGTATTGTGACTCGGGCTTGTACTGTTCTTTCTTTTGCTGCCCCAGGATGCCCCGCCCGAACAAAGACCTCACACTGCGAAAGAACCCTGCAAAGGGCGGAATCACGCGGAGACTTGTGCAGTGTTCGTAAGCTCGGCATAGCTCGGCCACTGTGAAGGCACAACACTTTCAAGACGTTAGAAGTTAGAAGAATCTGTGATCTTGAGATGGTTCGATGTTGTCCTTCACCACAGGAATGAGTGGCCAAAGTTGCCATTTCAGTCTTCGGGAAGGAATGGAATCTGGTAGCCAAAAAGCCGTGCAGGAAAGTTGAGGGACCTAGCCCAGCCCTGCCACTCGAATCATCGAGCTTAGTGTGTCCATGTCAAGAGAGGCTGGTCACGCCAGGATCCCTCTACGAGTTCTCAAACGCGCATACGCAACTAGGGGTAGCGTTTTTCTCCTGGCGTTTCAGAGGTCGAGCGGTGCCACCATGCGCTTTGAGCCGGAAATCGGCTGGGGAGCCAATGCGGGGTTGAAGCTGGCGCAAGATCTTCTGGAGCCTGAGCTCTGGCTGCAACTTGAAGTCTTGAAGGCGTAAAGATCATCAAGCACTGCCTGTTCCCATTTCGACTACTTCCCCTTCCCGGCGATCTGCCCCATGACACATGGTTTGTCATTTCTTAATATGATCCACGCCTCGTGTGCACCTTTGTGCACCTCGAGCCCCCGGCCCGGGTCATAGTTACTTCGGAAGCGATGTGCTTAGTAACTGGTACTGTCCAACTATAAAAGCTCTGAATGAAATAGATTCCTGGAACTTCTCGTTGCAAGCGAAACTGTTTTTCTGTGGATAATTAATGGGCGGTCACAAAATAATCCGAGATGCATTTTACAAGCATGCGAGAAGCCTAGGTGAAGAAGAAGTTCCCGTCGGTCTCGTACGCCGACCTTTGGATTTATGCTGCTTGCGTTGCCATCGAAGAGATGGGTGGCGAGAAGGCGAAGTCGGGGGCACTTCCACTTCTTGGGGGGTCCGGCGGTCCGAGTTGGACTTTGCCATTGCTCGGCTCCAGGTGCCTTTCACACCCGGCCGGAAGGACAAGACTGCAAAGGAGTGCCCTGCCTGGGACGGCCCCACTTGCAAGGAGCAGTGCTCTTTTTGTGAAAATCTCCAGGTCTCTCTCTCTCTCTCTGCCAGAGGATGGCCGCCTGCCCAGCGCGGACATGGGCAGCCCTGACAAGACGGCAGCGCACCTCAGGCTGATCTTCAACCGAGCCTTGCGCAAAAAGGGAAAGGCAGCGTGGGGAATCAGTTGTGCTGGCCATTCTCAGAGCGAGCGGGAATCTGAGCTTCGAATCAGTGGAGCATGGCCTGGCCTGACACCTTTCTGTAGGCAGTGTGCTGCCAACAGCTAGAATGAGCGCCTTCTACCAGCAGATGCCTAGTTGCTAGCTGTTTTAGTCTTGTAGAGCCGCTGCATAGACCGCTTCATGTGATGTGGCGAATACTACACACTGAGGAATGGGCTTCAACGACCAGGATGCACGCTGATCGTCCGATAGCGGAAGTAGTCTGGACTTCGGCTTTCTGTTGCGTGCATCCCGGTACGGCATGCCGCATATGCGCACACACTGAGCCACGCTATTCCATATTCGTGTCTCCACGAACAACCCGCATGCCTGTGTGCACACTGACAACGGTCGTTTCGGACTGGGCATGTTCTGCCAGTCGCTGAAGTGTGCAGACAGCGGACCGTAGAAGCCGAGAGCAGCCGAGCGAAGCTCAAGGAGATCGTGGCTTTGAGCGGAGCCCATGGATTGGGCGCCTGCCATACAGACCGCAGCGGCTACTGGGGGCCTTGGACACGTGCACCCACCACTATCAGTGCCTCGGCCGCCAGGTCCCGAAAATCAGTGCTAATTTAACTTGCCATGCTAGACACTGTGTCGAGCCATGCGGAGTCTAAAATCAAACACACGAAGTTTTATTTGCCGTTGCCTTCTTCGAGATTGGTGAAGCTTTGTCAACGGCTCATTTTGCTCTCAAGTCAACCCAATGAAGTCCAACAATACTAAACTCAGAGCCGGCCCTGATGTAGCTTGAGACGGAGCTGTTGCAGAAGAGGTTGCAGTTAGTTAGACTTTCTCAGTGCCGGCCTTGCGTCACAAAATTCAATGGATCACCAAAGGCGTCACTCTCCACTCGAGAGCGGTTGCACCCGAGCCTTTCAGACACGAGGCACCGAGTACTTCCGCGAGCTGCTGGAGAATGTCTGGTGCTTCGGCATGTGTGCATTTAGAGACATCACACCTGCCACTTCCGTAAGCTTCGCAGTCTGTATGAGGGTTTGACTGAGCATGATCTTGATCTTCTGCAGCAAATCTCACGCAAAGGGCTCACGACAATCCGAGGACGGTCAAGACTACACACAAGGGACAACCGTGGAAAGGCCCACTGCAGTTCGAAGATCCCACAGGCGTGGTCGTTTCGAAAGCAGCAGTAAGTCTTCGGAGAACGGCGAGCGGACGAGTAGCAGCCTGTATAGTTGAATGCTGGCCAGGTGGTTTGATGATGCTCCCATCTGACATAGTGCTCATTCAGGACAGCAATTCCATCTCGCGGCCTTGCCCGAATGCACATGACAAGGATCCACTGTCTGCCTTGTAACGCGACTCAGCGGAGGACCGAGAGTTTCGGAAATACGTCGAAATCTACGCAAAGGCGAGCCGATAGCTTGGGAAAGGGGAATACGGAGGCATGCCGGGCGTGACTTTGCCATTCCTCCGAGGATGATGCGCGCTTCCAGAAGGACTTCGCACAGGTGGTTGGAAAGCTCTTTGGGCAAGGGGCTTGACAAAAGCAGTCACTTGCACTCTGACAACCTGTGAATACGTTGTGGACCCTTGTCAAGGTTGGGCCACGGGGAGTCCAAGAAGTTTGGCCTCTTCTGACTTGGAGGTGAAGATTTTGAGTGGGCCGGCTTCAAGTTCGCGCGTCTTAAATCGTCTCAAAGCCTTGGGTACCTGGCAGCTGCATTGCGGCAGCTTCGTGTTCCTTCCAAGGCGTATAAGGCCGAGTCGGACATGCCTCGCCCTGCGCTGTGCGGCCTGAGCCTGCCGGAGAATCCCGGAATTAGCCGATCAATTTCAAGTATTTCTACAGCCACAGAGCTGCACAGACACAGCCAGCACCGATCCCTAGCGAAAACAGCCCTGCAAAAAATGGAAACGGTCCTTTTCGTGCTACGTGCGAGCGCCGTGATCTCGGGTTCCTTCCTCCCAAATGCCCCGAAACTAAGAGAAATAGATCCCTGCCGTCATCCATATATCACTCGTCCAAACGCAAAGGACCTGGAAGGTCAGGTTGCCATTTTCGTCACAACAACAAAAGTTAGTTTATGAGGGCAGCGATGGAACACCTTTGTGTCGGAAGGTGTCCGCAATAGAACCGGGGAGCGAGCCGCAGCTGTTTCCAGTGAGCCCAGCCCTCTCTAAGCCAAGCCTCTCTCGCGCCATGTTTGCACGTGCGATGCGCCCAGGCTGATGTGCACTTGATGTCTGCCACGTGTAGATGGGTGCTTGTTGTAGAGTGACTCGAGGAATCTGCACAGACTAGCGCCCTTTGCGCAAGAGAGTCTGTGATGTGATGTGTTTTCACCCGAGTGGTGCAAAACTTCTGACGCGCCCTCGCAAAGACTTGCGAGTTCTTCGTGCCTTCTTCAAGAGGCATGATTTTTTGGGTTGACAGGACTTGGTTCAAGCCCATTGGCAACAGTCACATGTTCTATACAGTGGACACGAGAACCTCGCGCTTGCGGCAATTTCTGACGAAACCTGCAGATGCGCTTGCAAAGCGGGACACAGAGATTCGCTCGACCTCGGCCGGACAGATTGTTCATCAGCATTGCGATGCAAAAGTTGTCGAGACTGGGAGGGTGCACGGCTTCCGCGATCTACAGTCGCGATAAATGCATTATAGTTGTGTTAGGCAAGTGGGCCCCCCTACTTCAGTTCTCAGTCGTCAAGGGTTGGCGTCCTGCCAATGCACACCCAAGCTCTGTCCCACACTGAACACCTTCAAGTGGTGGCAAGCTAGACCGGCAAACGGTTAAGAACGTGAAGCAGATGCTTCTCCTGGAATCGCAATGGGGATGTAGCGGCCGATGCAGGACACAAAACGCAACGGCGTCTGGAAAAGGAGGATTGGAACCGACTCCATGGCCAGAAATGCGAGCCAAGTGAGCGTCTCGACGACAACGTTTTCACTCGGCGCCAAAGAGACAATTCCTCGATGTCCTCGCGAGTGCACCCTCTTTCCCAAACGGCAGGATTCGTCGGCGTCGATATACCGTGCACGCACGTCGGCAGGCCTGATGCTGAAGTGCCTCAGCGGATAGCAGGTCCGTTGCTGTTGTGGCATCGCGCGACGTGCAATAATGATCGCATTATCGGTGCGTCAGATCAGCTTGAGAATTCACCGGTTCGTGCTATGGTTTGGTTGTGAGTGAAATCCCCGTCGAGCTCTCGGTCCCATGGCCTGCGCGACTCCACATCCGCACAGATCCACCAAGCAATCCAGAAAGGTGGCATTCAACAGGAGATGTTTTGCCCACCTGTCATACCTTGTCAAGCTTTGGTTCAGTAGTGGCACACCTTCCCTTTGAGACGAGTGCGGAGAGTTAGCATGCGGCTGTGGCAGGCTATCTGGCTTTGTCCCGCTTCGCGAAGCTAGAAGCGAAGGTGGCTTTGTGGCGGCTTCGACTTAGTCTTGTTGCTTCGTGTGGAGACGTTTCAACTCCAGGTGCCAAGCAGGGCTGTGCTGGCATTGAGCGCCGGGGCCCTCGGAGCCGGTGCTCTCACTGCCAAAAGCTGGGTGCAACCCGTCGGGTCCCGTGGCTGCCAGCGGATGTCAAGACCCATGGGTTTTCGTGTTCAGTCCCCTTTTTCTGCCACTGTTGAAAATTGAGGTGCGAGGGGCCGAATTGGGAAGCGATTCGGAAGGAGATCGTCAAAATTCTCGATGATGACACGTACAAGGAGACTTGCCTGCAATAAGCTGTCTTCCACACAATGTCTCAGTCCTCGTGGTCAATTGGGGTGCGATAGATTTCGTCATGTTTCGTCCATGGAATCTGGATTAGGCCCAGGCGATTGGGCAAAATATGATTTTTCCTAAACACCGAGATAGGGCACGAAGTCCTATCCTTCAATAGTCCGTGTTCCGCTGCAGCTTCAGCTATGTTCCGAATCCGCAAGGTTGCTCTGAGGATACTCCTAGCCAAATGCTAAAGCTCCACGTACGGGTGGTGGCAGAGGTCTCTGTAGCGAAGATTGGGTTCTGATAGGCCCTGACAGGCTTCCAATATTCTACGATGTCTTGCGTGACCATATGAGCTACCCCCTGAACTGCCAGATATCTCCAAGACTCCCCCCCCCTCAACCGAACCCGTATGTTCCCGATTTTCAGGGCCTGAACATATATGCACTAAATCTGCAAGGAACGATACTAAAAAGATTCTTCGTAATTCTCATTATAAAGGCTTTGAGCTCAAGAGTGATTGTTAAATATATTATATATACTGCGCTTTTTGTCTAGATCTCTATTGGGATTGATTTCTTTCGCCTCATCACGAAAGCTAGTATAGCTAGTCTTTCGTTTCTAGTACGGCAGAAGGGACTTCCGACCGTCTACCAAATCATACGGAAACCTGGC